TAGTCTATTCCAAGCTGAAGAAAACTAATTGCGAAGATTGCAATTGCCTTACAGACAGCCGGCCCCGCTCTCTGGGGGGACGATGCCACCTCCCAGAGCCAGCGGGGACCGGATGCGTGTCTAGTAGGACAGTCTCTCCAACCCTCCACCGGCGCCTTCACCATCCGTAATATTTACACAGGCATACCGGGTACTTCCTACACTAGGGATTAAATATAGTACTTTGTGTTAAGAGTTCTAGATTCACAGATCTAAGATCTCATGTCTTATACTCAAGTTAAGAATTCTTATTGGCTATATATTGATGAGAGAAAGCCTTGCGAGTGGTCTGATCCCCAACACAACGCGTGGGAATCCAGCCCCAGGCCAATGTCCCAAAGATGGGAAGGTTCCTGGGCGAAGGCGCCCCGCCCACTGACCAACTGGACACAGCCTTCAGTGACCAGCACTGTGGAACTCGTCAGAGGCTGAATATTATGCACTTACAAATAGAATGTCTAGAAGACCACGACTCTACAGAAAATGTCTCTGATGAAATGTTGAGTGAAAAAGCTTATACGAAATTGTACACGGAGTGTGAAAACACTATGTAACTTTCTAAAAGAGAAATAAAATGTCCACAGGAAAAAGCAGACTTGGAAAAACGCCCTGAAGCGTGAGCAGTGACCCTCTCTGGGTAGCGGGACCACTCACATTCCTCCCACTTCTTCAGTCTAAATTTCCTGTAATGCCCGCGAATCATTTTTAACGGGAAACTAATAAGTAAGAGGAGTCAGAGGAGCACGCAGTGGAAACAAGAGCAGCCTCCCAAGGTTCCACTCTGGGGTGCTTCTCAAACCGCCAGGAACGGGGTGCTCCCGTCAGCCGGAGCTCCTGGCAAGTGAGGGGGAAGGATGAGTGAGTGCTGGGGTCCTCCTTTGAGACAAAAAGCACAGTGAAAACAGTTCCTCCCGAAAAGGGTAGGGTCCTCCTGCACAGCACGTTGTAAAATCTGGCCTGATCTGGGGGATTGTTAAGTGCAGGCCAGCTAATGAGTTGCACGATACAAAGAAGAAAACAAGGGAGAGTGGACTCGAGGCAAGCAGAGGAGCCCGGCGGCAACAGAGGGAAGCCTGGCCAGGCCCCTTTTCCCGGGGAGGTGGGCTCCTACCACTGGCGTGGGCCGAAGGGGGAGCAGAAAAGGCAAAAGGAGGGAACAGACTTTGAAACTGTCTACAGCACGTGCTGGTCACGGAGACCCAGAGGGGCCGGGAGCTTCAGCGGAGCAGATGCAGGGTGCCCTCCCTCCATCTCCATCTTCTCCGGTGAAGTCAGTCACACGTCCTGTTGGCAGGTCTGAGCGCAGCAGGGGGATGGAGACGACCGCCGGGCAGTTCACATCTGGAAACAAAGCTGGGCATCGTCCCGCTGTGCGCCTCCCTCTCAGAGGTCTGACGCTGCCTGCGGGGGCAGAGAAAGAGCGCCATGTGAAGAATGGAGTTCCCACTTCTGTTCTCAGGATACAACTTACTTCCAAATACACCGGCAATGGCCTGGGAGTGGGTACAGATGCACTACCCAACGCAGAGAGATTTTTCTCTCAGGACGGAAGTGGCCACAAGACCGTTTTATGAGTTCTGGCCACTTTGCCAGTGGGCACAGCATGACCACAGCCGAATGGCCACGGCTCACTCCGTCCATCCAGGTGAAGACCCAGAAGGTCTCCAAGTGCTTCATCTGCTAGGCAGTTTCTGCGTAAGTAAAAGGGAGAGTTGATAAGAGATTAGAAGTGCGGTTGATTATTGAAACGATGTTTTATGATGGGTCCCAGAGGAACTTCAAGCCCTCTCACTGAACTAGAACTTCAGTGCAGCGAATGCAAGAATCAATGGATTATTGTGTGAGGATTAATCAATTTCCAAGGACCGTCCCTCCCTGGGGATCCTTGGGTTCCAAGGATGAAGCTACAAGAAAACTAATGGCTCTACTCTCACCCTGGGTCTTCCTTCCTTTCAACCTTAGTGCAGGAGAAAGAAATACACCTACAACCACCTGCTGATTTCACCCCGAGTCACTGGGTCTGAGGCTGGGGCAGCAGAGAAGATCCCAGATGGGCTGATGGGCAAAGACCTGCCGCCAGGTGTCCACTGCTGCCCTCCCTCCCCTGGGGTCAGGTCTCTCACACCTGGGTTGGCATTCTCTTCCCTTGTCCCTGACCAAGGAGAGGTCGCCATCACCCCCCTAGAGAGAGAAGTATCCGGGGGCACAGGAAGAACCACATTTTAGCAGCGTGTAGCTGGCTACCTAGAAAATTGCATTTTCAGTGAACTTCTTAAGGCTATGCCAGGCAGAAACCATCCCCAAAAGAAATGGATCTTATACCCAGAAGACAAAAGTGCACCCACTGACGGGTCAGGTGCAGTTCGTGGTGTCTATAGTCACGAGCGGTGAGGACTCACGGGGCCTCTGTCTCCTCACACGCTCCTCTCCTCGTCCCCAGCCTCTCACGGAGGGTCACACGGAAATGGTGACCTTCTCCAGTTCACTGTCACTCAGCAATGAGTGATCTCTCGTGTTTTAGTAAAAATTTATATTTAAGCAAAGGGCCAGTTGACAAGAAGCCAGTCTGTTTTCTCATCTCACTCAGAGTCAACACATTTGGAAAAGAAGGAGGGATGTGGAAATGAGGCTGTGGGAGGTGTACGAATGTACAAGGTCTGTCCAGAAAGAGTCCAGCCACTGTTAACACAACGAGAACGGCTTGCATGACATCAGTGCAACCCGGCAGCCAAGGAGAACAGCCTGGACTGCACATGCATGAACAATGACGACTTCACTGTACGAGTCACTGGGGCGGTAGACGCCATTGAGTGAACCTGTGTACTGTGTGGCCGTTGCATTCAAAACTACTGAGCGAGTAGAGCAATGAATCTGCATCGAATTTTGTGTTAAGCTTGAACATTCCTGTGCAGAAACTATTCAGATGGTTCAGAGGCTGCCGCTGTGGGAACTGGTGATTGGCAGCTTCATCATGACCACGTGCCTTCTCATGCATCACGTCTCATACAGAGTTTTTTGGAGGGGTTTTTTGTGTTTATTTATTTATTTATTTATCTTTAGATGGGAAGGGAAGGAGAGAAGGAGAGAAACATCAATGTATAGATGCCTCTCTTGGGTCCCCTGCTGGGAACTGGCCTGCAACCCAGACATGTGCCCTGACTGGGAATCGAACCACAGTTGTTTGGTTCACAGGTCGGCCCTCAATCCACTGAGCTATGCCAGCCAGGGCTTATACAGAGTTTCTTTGTGTGACATCAAGCCCCCCAGCCCCACTACAGCCCAGATTTTGTGTCCTGTAACTTCTGTTTTTTTCCAAAACTAAAATCACCTTTGAAAGGGAAGAGATTTCAGACCATCAATGAGATTCAGGAAAATACAACAGTGCAGTTGAGGGCAATTCCAACAAAGGACTTTGCAGGTGTTTTGAACAGCAGAAGAGATGCTGGGAGAACTGTACCTACGTTCCAACGGTGCCTACTTTGAAGGGGACTGAGGCGTCACTGTCCTGTGTACAGTGTTTCTTGTATTTTATATCTTCTTCAGTAAAAGTCTCTATTTTTCATATCACATGACTGAGTACTTTCTGGAAAGACCTTGTACACACATCTCCTCACTATCTTTTTTGATTACTATCCCAGTATGGTTTTTAAAAATCATTATAACTGTTTTATCTCTTCCTGATTTTTAAAAGTATTTGAGCTCATAACTTAAAACAAAATGGCAAATGTTCTAAAACTGAAATTACAGTTTACTATAAGGTGAAATACTATTTTCATTTACCATTATGAAGGAGTGGAAATGCATCCTCCCTAAACATGCCAAGTTTATTTTCTTGAGCAACTCGGGAGGCTACCCCTGCCCTTGCAGCTACATAGAACATGCAGTTACCGCACCCTAACAAAGCCCTCAGTGAGGGCCTGTCAGTGTGAGCTGTGGTCGTCGGGCAGCACCGAGGGCCCAGGTGCACTGGAAGGAACCAGTGACCACAGTCTCCCTGGAACACAGTCACTCAGGGAAGACAAATGCCACAATGCACCTAATGCACAGCAGGACTCGGTGCCTGAGCCTCAGCACGGTCTGGCATGAGCCTCTCAGCACTTAGTAGGCCCTCAGCAGGAGGAGGGAGGGAGAGAGGGTTTTCATTCCTTAATGTGTTTTCATTCCTTGCAATTCCCTTTCTCAAAAAAAAAATCTACTCAGATGGAATGCCCATTGTTTCCCCCCTGGCTCTCTGTGTCCCTAACAACATTTTTAGCTTTGGTTTCAGAATTTGGACAGGTAATGGGAAAACATAATTAAAGCAAATGGTAACATGTGGGGCCAAGCGTTGGGTTCAGCTTTGCCACTTAATTGAATTCCATTTTTATTGTGCAAATGAGCTGTTGCTAAAAACCTCGAATGCTTTACTGAAACGTGTTTGGTAATCAAAGGGGATCGATACATATCTGCTGCCAACGAAACGAGCAAGAGAGCACGCGTATCTACGTCCCATAGCAAAAAGCATCAATGACGTGTCGTGAGAACGAGGTACAGTTTTTAGGCACTAACATATAAAGACATCAGGGACATAGAGTTAAGGGGGGAAAAAGGGGAGCCGCTGAGCAGTGTGACCTTGATTCAGTTATTGCCAAAATAGCTGCACAGGCTGCAAGCGCTTTTAGAATAGCCAGACAGACGGGGGACTTCGGGCCGGCTGTGCAGGGCTGGGAGCAAAGTTGGTGCGGAATGGAGTGTGACCAGGGGCGCGGCTTCCCCTCGTTCCTCCCTACAACCCGACAGTGCTCACGTGTTTTACACAGCATGTCATTTCCAATCCAATAATGTGTGAAATAAAAGACCTGAGAATAATATCACAATTTTGAAACCAGTCTCAAAATATGTACATTTTCAGAGAAAAAAAATCCATTGAGATGACTCACCTTGTTGGAATGAGACTTTTTCTCCATCGCCGTCCATGAGTTTCATTTGATTTTATTCGCGATCTCCTTCAGAAGACACTTGAGATCATTCAGCTGGGGGGAAAGAACTGGTCTTAAGTCCGATTTGCCAACTTTGGAGTGTAAATGATAGCTCTCTAGTTTTCCCACGAAATGCGAACGTGCTTGTGCGTCAGACGGGGAGTGTAGCACATGCTGTGCAGCACAGAATGAGTGACGGGACACTCCGGCCCCTGTCCCCTGCTTCCTTTCCGGAATCACATCTCGAGCAGGGGACCATTCCCATCAACTAGTATTGGCTTTACTCAAATGCACGTTACTAGTGATTCCTACATAGAAAGCATAGATTTTTCACGAGAGAGAAACACTATCTAGAAATAATGTTCCACATAACAAATACTAATATAAGTTATGAGCTACGATACAATAAAGTTATGCTTTGATAATAATGCTATGAAAATAATATATAATATTAATAAGTCAAGTTTTTGCCAAGTCTCTCCCCTCACCACAAAACAGTATACGTGGTAGAGTAATGTGGGAAAAAGGCCTAATAAAATTATTTTTGATACATGCATATTTCACAAGTTTATTTCACAAGGTGCATGAAGCTCGTTCGAAATCACACACCATGGCTGCACACTTGATCAAAACTGTAGACACAACACAATTTCTATACCTTGGTTTCTAACTTGCTATGTCCCTCACTCAGGAAAGAGCTGTGTTTAACTTAGGCTTCATTTCATTAATAACCTCTTCATTTAACTTTCTTTTTTTTTAAGATTTTATTTACTTATTTTTTAGAGAGGGGAAAGGAGGGATAAAGAGAGGGAGAGAAACCTCGATGTGTGGTTGCCTCTCATGTGGCCCCCACTGGGGATTTGGCCTACAACCCAGGTATGTGCCTTGACTGGGAATTGAACCAGCGACCCTTTGGGTCACAGCCCGCACTCAATCCACTGAGCTACACCAGCCAGGGCTTAACTTTCTTTTTCTTAAGAACAAAAAGCAGCCCTCGGGGTTAGAGCCTGCCTAACATAAGCAAGGTGCAGTGAGATCCCCACCCCCAGACGTGTGATTTCTGGGCACTGGACGCGCTCTGTGCTAACTGGTGGCAGAGTGGCTTTGATACGCTGTTTGAAGTGGGAGTAAGATTCCAAGAACTTGCTCACGAAACGAGTGATGATCCCTACATTTTCTCTGGGTGGAAAGTCTATCTCTTGTTGCTCAGAAGAGGAGGCACAGAGGATGGAGGGTGGAAAAACCCGGAGAAGGAGCAGGGAGCAGGATGAGAGGGGGAGAGGTAGTGAAACCCCGTGGGTGACCCCCGGGCTCTCTGTTATGAACCTGGGGTCTTCCCTGGGACCCGCCAACGTCTCCCCAGACCTACAGGATGATGGTGGAGGTGGGCTTCTTTCGGGAACCAGCAAAGGGGCTGAGGTCCACAGCCAGGGGCATGTGAAGAAGCCCGAACCCGCAGGTACTCTCGGAGGTCCCGGAGACCCCGGCTTGCACGTGCATGTAGACAGCCTTTGGTATGATTCCATGATACGTGACCCCCTCAGCCCCCATCTCCCATGACCCCCACTGTTCAGGTCCACTGCCCCCATTGACAGTGTCTCCCTCCTTCGGTCGGGAGGTCTCCCTGGTCCCTAGGAGTCAGTCAGTGCCCCGGGCTCCCCATGACCTCTGCACAGACCCAGCAGGCATCCAGGCGGCCCGAGGCTCCTGCCTGCTGCTCTCTGCCCGTCCACAGCGGTCTCCGTCCCGTCCATCCTCTGCATGTCCAGGGCACGGCCAGCACCGAAGCGTGGCTTCTGCAGCATCAGCCCACCCTCAGTCTTACTTCCCACCAGCTCCCTGCAGGGCCACCCCAGGGAGCCCAGGAATGACACAACACACTGGAACAAACACCCAAATACAACACCCAAACGCACAAATGCCCAGCTCCCGATTCCCCGAGCAGACGACCTGGAAGGCCTGGTGATGCGCAGAGGAACCGCTGCTGCATCTAATTCTGCACAGTTCAGCCTGCAAATGCTCCTCCCCCCGAACCTCGGAATAGAGGGGCCCTCACGAAGTCCAGGGGCCATGTCTGCCGTGACCGCACTGAGCCCGATGCTGGCCCGTGTTATGACCTAACACATAAGCATAAACGTTACGTGTTATGTGGTCTAGGCCCAGAAGCAGCAGACAGTGCGAGCACGTGTTTGAATGCAAATACATAATGTGAAAAGGTGAATATATCACGTGAGGCTTTCCACATGTTACATATTGCCTGGGTCTCATAGAAATCATCTTAGAACATGGTCCCCTATTGCTCCTTTCCTACATTCTCTTAATAGTCTGTAAACTGTTCCTGATCTTTAAACATGTCCGGCATCATTCCTTTCTCTCGCGCCGCTAGGATCACGAGCTACGTCCAATGTGACACAGGGGTCCTCCCGGCCCCACAGCTGAAAATCAGCAACAGCACAACGGCAGAACGAGAGCGGCCGTGACAAGACCCACCACCGTGGGGTGGCATGTCTCCAAAGGGGCCTCCACCACGTCCTCGCTCCCCGTACGCATGTGCTGCTCCCACGCCGAGCAGTGGCTGCTCCCCCCGCTCCCCACCTGGACCCGGGCCGGCCTGGGACCGCTTTGTCCAACAGAGCCTGGTGGAAGGGACACCGTGCCAGGTCCAGGTGTAACCGCCCTATGCCTAATGCTCATGTGCATATCCGTGCACCTGCCACGCCCTGCAGTTTAATAGGCAACAAAACACAGTGGCCTCAAAGCTGAGCACAGGGGCTCCCAGACCCCCAAAACCCTTCCCTGGGCCTCTCCGGTGCTCCCATAATTGCCAGCATCTCCCACCCGCCTCTGCAGGTGAGAGAAAAGTAGGCCATCCTGGGTTAGAGAGATGAGGTTTTGGAGATCATAGAAATGGGACTTCAGGACTATCCCCACTGGGCTGATCACCCAAGAAACAATTCCGCTCCGGCACCCAGACCCTACCCAGTGAATAAAGAAAGCTGAATACGGTCAACACCACATCTATTTTTTAATAATAAACTTCTTCAATTTTAGACCATAACCACTGGCTTCCAGTTGAAAGCTCTAATAGAGATGAAAATATTATTTCTTAAACTATAAACAAAACTGTACCTTTGTATCCAGCTGTCTAAACCGATGCCTCATTCTTCAAGGGGGAGAGAGAGAGAAAGAGAGAGAGAGCTATTAAACTCCATTTTCCAGTCTTTTAAAAAACAAAATTCAGATCATTTCCACGTCCAGCTAAATCAGCATTCACTGCATTTACCTGTCGTACTTTCTCCCTGAGCCCCAGGAACAGAACCCCACTGCTGCCCGAGTTAGAGGTGCCCCAAGCAGAAGCCACTGTGCTGAGGGGGCGGTGGGAGGGGACCTGCAGGGCCTGTCCTCCCTTCCAAAACCAGGGCCTCAGAGTCTAGAAGTGGAGGAAGCTGGGGCGCCTGCTCTGTCACTCGGAGAGAGAGAGTCCCCTGCTCCCTGGTGGCTGTGTGAAGCTCACTGACGGATTGCGGTGCTTCTCTCTACTCGTTCCTGTTCGAGTGCATTTGGAGGTGTCCAGAGGTCCCGATATCTGAGACTCTGCCCAGTAACCGTGTCACCCGCATGGTAAGAAGAGCAATGCTCCTGGAGGCCCCACATAAACGTCACGTGGGCCCATCCGTGGACTGGGGGCCCATCTGTGGACTGGGGGCCCATCCAGTTCTGCGTGATGTTTATAAACAGCTCCACAGGTCCCATAAAGGACGGTCCGGACCGTCTCAGGGATGGTCTAACCCATCAACCAAATGGTTTTTCCATCTTCTAATATCCCTACCCCTCCTCACAGAGACACACGGGTGGCCCCTGCCAGGGCAGGCCCACTGCCCATCCCCTGAGGGACTCTTCCGGACCAGCCTCTGCAACCACTGCAGAGGGACATACACTCTGGTCACCTGGCCCCAAGGCCCTGCCCTGCAGGCTCCAAACACCACCGTCTCCCCCAGGGCCTTGCAGGACCCTGCGGAAGGCAGGCTGGTGGCTGTGCCCTGTCCGAAGGGCTGGCCCACATTCGCCGTCTGTCTCCAACAGCCCGGGTAGCATCTGCCTGTGCTCCTGCTCGGTGCTGTGCCCCCTCCTTACAGAGCTCGCCCAGCCCTGCGGGCTGGTACACGGGGGCACCTTGCAGAGTGGGAATGAAGGGCTGACATACTCCTCTGAGGCGTCGTTGGCCTTCGTGTTGATCTTGACCAGGTAATTTTCTTTCATGACGCCCTCCCATGCCAGAGTCTCGTTGTCTTCATTTGTGAAACCTTGAATAACGAGACAGAGAAAAACATGCACATTGTTACCTGCCCCTCGCTCCTGAAGCAACACCCACAGTGCATTTGGCCATTCTGGGACTGGGAGAATCCGATTCACCCAGCCACTCACCTGACTAATGCTACTCACTCGTGACGGCAGCAGCAAGAGGGGACATTAAGGAAAGTGCTGGCAGCGTGAGCCAGGAACGCAGTCTTTATTCTACATTGAGCAGCCCGGAGCCTGACTCTGGTTTTGTGACTCAGCACAACCATTTCACGAGTGACTTTGGTTCTCATTTCCTTGTGTCCTCTTCTACCGTGATCCCATTATCACGCTACCCTGAATGTGCCGTTAAATAATTGGTGATAGGTTGCCCGGCCTCAACCTAACAGGGCAGCAACTTTGGCACATAAGGCCTGCCACCACCCCACCCCGAGATGGAGAGTCTGAGCGCAGACCTCCGGGAAACTTCTCTCCTCTTTTCCTCCCGGGGCACCCTGTGCTGCGCAGGGGGCCTGGGGCACGTTCTGGCCAGAGTCTCGGTCCAGCTTCCTGCCGAGCCTCACCTTTCAGGGGCCTAGCAAGTGAAGAAACTGAGCGACAGCTCACCTGGATTTCAGGCAAGGGACAGCCACCCTCACACGTTCCTGCAGATGTCCGCTTGGAACAAATGCATTTAGTTTTTACTTATTTGTCCTGGACACGTTCGAGTTTAGGGAGAATTACACCATCCTGCTGGATTTCAGAAGAATTAATTGGGCATCAAACGTAGCCAGAAAGCAGGTGGCAGGTTCAAAGCAAATGCTATTATAGCAAACACAGATTTACTTCTTTTCTTTATTTTTCTCATTTTTTAATTTTTTTCAGATGCATTTTTAAATGGTGCTCATTCACTTTAGAAAATAATCCACAACTGAATGTCTTTCTCTTGTATTTTTCCTAGCAGTGCCGTTTCCAATGTCTTTTCCTGTCATTCAAATGCATGTGCAAGCCCAGGCGGAGCAGAGCAAGGGGGAGACCATCCTGGACACAAGCGGCAGAGAGCAGGAATGGCCAAGAAATGACCAAGAAAAACCGCCCAACTTAGTCAAGGCAACGCTGGCGGAAATGACCACGGAGCCCTTCCACCAACCCAGCCAGGAAGTAGCAGGTTCTGCCCTGACAACCGTATCCTGCGTTGGCAAAGATGTGGGCGAACAGACTCCCCACGTGAACTGTCACGGCCCCAGGGAATGGGGACCGGCAGGGCGCCAGACGAGATCAGAAGACTTGAACGTATACATGCTCCTGGTCTAGAATCATCTCTTCTGGAAATAGCTCAGAGGATGTGCTCAAAAATTAATGTGTAAAACTGTTTATCACAGTACTCTATGATAACAAAGGAGCTGAAAATCTACACATTTAACAAGAGGATGGTAAAATTAATTATGGTGCATTGAGATGTTGGAATATTCCAGTTAAAAATTGTCATGCAGATCGGTATTTATGGATTTGGGAAATGGTTGTGATGTGTTATTAGTTAAATGAACAAATCCAATTGTGAATGTGCATGCGCAGATCAAATTATTATACAACCACAGGGGAATAAGAGAATAAATACCAGCATGTTGCTATGTATCTGTGGGTGGTGGTTACATTCACCTTTGCTCTTCCTCATTTGTACTTTCTTGCATTTTTCTAATGTTCTATTAATAAATATGAATCACTTTTTCATCTTTTATAAAAATACAATTACTGGGTAGCATATTTTTTTAATTGCTTGAAGATGTCACCAAAAACAGAAGCCTGGACCTTATCTTTTCTGAAAGTTCTTTGAAAAACCCGGCATTTTTCTCCAAAGAAGAGCAATTTCCAGCTTAAATTCCCCATCACCGGAGGCAAACTCGAAGTGGATTCAGGGCACGGGTTGCCAGGAGAGGCTGTGGCGCCCACGGTGCTGCAGCTTCTGCCACAGGAGTCTCCCAGGAGGACCCCTGGCTGGTCTGTGCTGAGTCCTGGCCCCGCCCCCGGCTTCTGCAGTCACCACCAGGAGAGCGGGGAAGGCTCCCATCCTCTGGTGGCCTCCCATCCCCCTCCCTGCTCCTTCCTGGGAGTGAGGAGCCTGTGAGGAGGGAGGAGGTGCAGGGCTCGCACGAGTGTCTCTCCATCTGTAAGATCACGGCCCACCTGGGGCATGAGGGAGACAGAGGCAGGCTCCGCGAGTCCCTCTGGCCTCTCTGTCTGCTTCCTCAGGCTGAAGCCCCCATCCGTCTGCTGGCCACATGGGGGGTTTGTTTCCGTCTTTCTGTTCACATTGTGCTGAACCATGAAGTTCTGAGGACACGTGACAAATGTCGTCCTGCCTTTCCTGCCGCAGCCGAGCCCAGGGGACGGGCTTGTCTTCACTTACACAGCAGCGTCCCGGCTCCGCTGACCCTGGACTGTGCACCCGCCTCTCTGGAGAGTGGGCCTTCCCCGCACTCAGCCCCCCACTGCCCACCCCACCCGGTGACCCACCACGGAGAGACCTTCACCACCTCCCTCAGCTGCTCATCTTCCTCCCTGCACCTTTATCTGCATTTGTTTTTTTCTCTAGAATGATTCAGGACAAAAAAAAGTACAAAACCTGTTGTCAGAGTCTCTGGTTGGCAATTCATCTCCTAAACTTGCTTTGCATTTGCCTCCAAATCTGAAGGTCTCCGTGGCCCCCTGGGGCTCCCCCCAGGTCCCATAGACACTCGTCCTCCACGACATGGCTTCAGGACGTCAGCCGAAGACACCTCTGAGGCCCGTCCTCACGTGCCTCTGACCTCGGGCACGGTCTTGGAGCACAGACTCCAGACCTGCACCTCCAACCCCCGCCTCTGATGTGAAGACCATCCGTTCTCTCAGCCCGAAATGACTCCCTTTGTCCTCTGCGGTGAAATGATGGGCAGAAAGACAGTACCTCGTCCGAACCGTCACAACGCCTTTCTTCATCAAGAAAGGCAGTTACATAGCTGTGATGTCTAATGACGTCCCAAAGGTGACACTTGTGTCTTGAAATAATGCCGTTAGAAGAGGTGACGATGAGGAGTTTTGAACCTGTGACATGATGTCGCCGGCGCATTTACATCCTGAAAGCCAGACTTCAGGACATCGAGGTCCTGGGACAGCAGGCAAGTGGGTAAGGGCCAGTATCCAAGGTCATGTTCGTGAGCAGCTTGCCTCTGTTTCTATGTAGTTAAGGAACTCCACAAAAAAAAAAAAAAAATGATGTTTCATAGCAAGGTAAATTTTTCTTAATTGCCTAGGTTAGTAAAATTGATCTTTTGTGTCCCAAATTGTCTCGGCATGTGGGCTACACTGACGTGACGGGAATGATGCTCCCGACATTAAACGTGACCCCACGCAGGGTGGTCGGGGGCTGTTTCATCGGCTACGACAGAGAGAAGCCCAGAGGGAGACACACACCCCCGGGCCAGCAGCCCCTGGGCCACCGGACACCGGGGAGCAGTGGGTGCGAGGCGTGGACAGAGCAGAAAATCTCCGCCTCGCCCTGCAAACCAACGTGAAGACGCGCACGGCCGGCCCGTAAACCTCCAGTGAGGGGTGCTGGGTCCCACCCAGATCAGCCTCTTCCCGCATCGCCCTCACCGCCTGCAGGGCCGGCAGCAGTACCGCCGCTGAGGGTGGCTGGTCTGGCACGTGCGTGTCTCGTGCGAGATGGACGGCCACATGAACACCTCACCTGAAACTTCACGTGGTGTGCTTGAGTGTCATATATTGTATGTTACCAAACTACACGCTTATGGTTTCGTAGTGAAAGATTTTTATGTGGTAAAAATTAGGTGTTGTTTGTGCCACACCCTGTACTTTTTCTGCTGGAACAGAGACTTTTTTTTTACCATCAGTGCTCCAGTGCGGGGTGGGGGACCCACCTCAAGACCCTCCCCCAAACTCCAAAGCGACTACTCCTTGCCATGTCACGTGACGGAGCGCCAGCACCTGCGGGGCATCTCTTTGATCTGGGGACGCCTTGTTCACTTCTGGTCGAGGGAGACAAGTTCATTAGCAAAGGGGTACACTATTGTGATACGCGCTTCAGGACTTACGTCACCATCTCTTGCACTATCGTGTCTCCCGTCTACATTTTCCCTCCCCTGGGATTAAGGATGACACATTGTGACAGGGTGGGCTGGGGACAGGAGGCGGGGGGTGGGGGGGACCAGGGGGTGGAGCTAGAACCTGGCTGTGGGACATGGCCCAGGGGTTTTTATTTGTCCCTCTGCAGCCCTAACTTCCTCCTCTTCCTGACCACGCCTCCCTCTGTGGCCCCCTCCCAGCCTCTGCCCCTTTGCCTGGCTAAATTCCAGCTCATCCTCTGGGTCTCAACTTAGGTACTTCCTTCTTCCAGGAAGCCCTCCCTGCTTCACTCTAGTCTGGGGTTTAGGCGTCCACCGTGTAGCTCTCCTGGTGCCCTATGCGTTCTGTGAAATGAGTGTGTCCCACACTTCTCAATTAAAGCTCTTTCATTTTTGGTGATAAGACTAAGTGAATAATTCATACACATCCAGGCACCCCTTTCTACCCCAAATTGCTAAAGGTCACGTTCTGGAAGCACGCTTGTGCATCTAACACCCACGCCTACCGCAGATGCGGCTCGGAGAGCACGGGCTCGGCACAGGTGCTTTTCAAGGGAGGAAGACATGGATCTTCCGATTTCTCATGAAATGCACCCATTGTGGGAGGCTGGCAAAGGGGACTCCGCCCAGAACTGAGAGCCATGAAGAGTTTGTTTCTCAAAGACCTGCCTCCACTTTCCTGAGCTTGGAGAGGCCCCGACAAGCACAGCAAACGGGGTCAGATGCGTCTGCAGGGTCAGCCTACGTGTGGGGAATTTTGTTTTCAATTGTTCAAGACGTCGCAGGTCATTTTGGACTGCTCAGAATGGACTGGGTAGCGAAGCACTTCCATTTCTGGTGTGTCGAAGCTGATTACTGTGGCAGGTCGGTTAGTGGGAAGGAAGCCCCTCGCAGGCTGCCCCCAGCACAGCCCACATTAGCTGTGGGTGGCGGGCAGGTAGGGCAGCGGCAAGCTCACTTTTCCTGGACTGGCCAGTGCCGGGTGAAGGAGGCCCTCCCAGGGGACCCATGCATCCAGCTCGTTCCTCCAACTGGGCGGGCCTGTGATGTCCCTTGACCAATAGAATGCAGCAGAAATGATGTCATGCGACTATGCAGCCACGGCTTGATATGGGAACCCAGCCTCGGTGTAGGGAGCGTGAGCTGGGACACGTGGAGGCTCCCCCCACACACAAGCGTGCACAGGGCCATCAGGCCCAGCCAGGGCACAGCCCACCTGTCCAGTGACCAAAGCAGGGGGCAACTGAGGCCAGCCGTCCCAGCTGAGCCCGGACCAGGGGGGAACCCGCGGGACCATGAGCAAAAGAAGTGCTGGTCGTTTCCGGCCACTGGGCTTTGGGATGGTCTGTTAAACAATCACCCACAACCCACCTGCTCAGAGACCTAACGCCGCCCTTCTCTGCTTTCCCCACAGGAGGCAGAGAAGGCAAACCCCGCGGGCACCAGGGCTGGGGCCGACCTGAACTACTGGCTGACGTTCTCTGGCAGCACACCAGCCCCTTTAAGACTTCAGTGGCCCCAGAAGGGTGACCCGCAGCCCCTCGAAGTGATAGGGCTCCTGGGATGCTAGACTTACAGTTTCACAATCGGGACAGTCCCCAACAAACTGGGACGAGTTGGCACCCGACTGGATGTCTGGGGTGCAGAACATTTAGTATTAAGTTGGGGATGCTCTGGACGAACGGGCCCAAGTGGGTCGGTCGCCTTAGGCCCTCGCACTTTTGCCCTTACTCGCCCCTTCCTGGGTTAAAACAATGTCTATTAAAATATATGATGACTGAATCAGTATAAAGGCAAATATATTCCCACATGCTTTCTGTGAACTAGAAGTTCATTAGTTTTCTTCTGATCTTTAAGAGAAAGTAAAAGATTTTCATGGGCCCTGAGCACATGGTTCCTGGTGCTGTGCCTGATGGGGTGGTGGCCCCGCCACCAGCCCTCACCCCCACCCCTCGCCCCTGCACCCCCCTGAGACGCATCGTCTCGCCCAAGTTGGAGGTCAGAGGGCCAGGAGAACATGCCGCTCCATCTCCTCTTTTGTTCCCTGACCTCTGATGAATAAAAAGCGCCCTCTCCTCCTTTTGTGCTTAACATGGCTGACACGTGTCTGCAGACCGGGGAGACTTGTCCGGCTTTGCGGCTCTCAGATTGGGTGTCGAGAAGACACCTGTGGCTAGGAGAGCTGCACAGGTGCTCCCTGAAGCCAAGGGAGTCCGTGGCCAGGGTGCGACCAGAAATCCGAGGGTGAGAGACCCTGGCCCTGGTACAGGGAGGGGAGGGGCCTGGGGAGAGACTCGCCTGCAGCCCCAAGGGGGTCGGGCTGAGGAGATGGGTGACCACAGGAGAGAGAGGACAGACTGGCCTGCTAAAACAATGACCGCCACCTTCCAGAAGGAGGTGGGTCCCCCACATGGAGCGTGTGCTAAATGGGCCCCTGGAAACCAGAGGCTCTCAGGGAGCAGCCTCCAGGGAAAGTACTGCCCACGGGGGACTGCCGTGACGGGGCAACTGCTGAAGGACCCCCCCCAGCGCCCACACATCAACCCGTGCCAGGCCAGAGGGCACAGAGCCAGCCTGGGACAGGGTCCCCGTCCCCATAAAGGACTGTCTGCTCTTCACCCTCCACCCTCCCTGGGCTGAGGGTCAGCAACGGCAGTGCTGCGTGGGGGAGAGGGAGTCACAGAAACAGGGACAAGCACCGGCCCCCCTTCCTGACAACTCCACCAGCCGAGAGGAGGCGAGCCCTCCGGGGGAGACCCCCCAACCGGCAGTGCGTGGGCCGGCGAGCATACTGGGCTGTGCGTCCTGATTCCTAAGGTGACACTGTTTCACCAAGTCAAGTCATTGTAAGCTTTCTAATTCCATCAGGGCGACCGGAAGAGTCGAGAGCCCTGCTGGAGGGAAGGCCAAAGTCTCCCGGAGAATAAATTTCACAGCAGCCAAGGGCGGCGGAAGCGAAGTCATGTGTGACAACATCCCGTAAGTCATGCTTAATCAACACCCTATTCACATCATCAATCTGTCCGTCCACAGCCACCACACCATAGAGGGCCGCCCCCGCAGACGGACCAGGTCTGCCTCTCCTCTTTCTCTGGAGGACTGCATTTTGCCGTGTATACTGTGCACCCATTTTGGGCCCAAATGTTCAGGAAAAAAAATACTTTGTTTTAATTTTTTAAATTCAATTATTTACTTATTTATACTTAGAAACAAAACTCATTATCATATTCCAGGGTATTGTTTTGCACGCAGATGTCGTTCACTGCTTTCTAGAGCTACACTTTTAACACATAAGCATACATAAGAGAATTAAAAACATTTATATCCGATATGGAATTAGTACTACCCACATGTAATGCACACCCTTATTTTTCCCTCAAAAGTTTGGGCAAAAAAAGTGCACATTATACATGGCAAAATATGGTGATTAATTCCTTGACTGGCCTGATGCCCAAGCTTTATGGACAGACAGACAGACAGACAGGTGTGAGCAGCAGGCAGCTGAGCCGGCGACGGCCCCGGCCTGCACCCCCGAAGTTCATCTCTGCCCCCGACCCCAGCGCCCGCGGGCATGCCACTCACAGCAGGCGGAGGGCTGGGCGGGTCCCTCCTGGCAGCAGCCCTGGAAGCAGCTCCTCACCACCATGTAGAGGTAGGCGAAGACCACGAAGGGGAAGGGGACGTTGAGGCGGCTGCAGTACTCCTGCACCAGGAAGTACCTCTGGAACTTCCAGACCTGGTCGTTGTTCTCCTGGACGATGCCCACGGTGTAGCTGGCGGGGCGGAAGCGGGAGACAAGGTCAGGTTTGGGCCTTCCCGTGCCCATTGCTTCACCACCAAACACAGCTCTAGTGATTTTAAGCTCCAACCCAGACAGTTTGGGTCTGGATGGGACAGAAGGTCCCTGCTGGGGGGGCGGCCAGAACCACTCAGCACGGGGCTGAGCCCTCTATTTCAGGAGGGGTCGGAATGGTTTCTGGCTTGTGGTTTTTGTTTTGTGTTTTCTCTTCGATCACACACACAAAAAAATGTCAAAACTCTAAACTTATTTTTATTTCAGGACTTTTCAAAGGGTCTGTTTTTTCGTTAGTCTATTGTTAAGTGAGATACAAAGAGGCCCAAAGGACTGACTCTCTCGGGAATAGAACGCCCTCCCATTTGCCAAGGGCCTTAAAAAGGTTCATCCCTCTGACCCAGTGACTTTTCTTCTGGAAACTTCCCCCAAGACTGAGGAGGCACTGAGAACAGACAGTGTGTGAGTGGGCACACGCACAGGGCCGTTTGCCGCTGCACAACAGAAGGGGACAACACAAAGGGTCGGCACTAACCACATGCTTCGCACGTTATGTTTAATCAACGTGATCCTGTTAGGCAGCCATGAAAAATTGTGTTCATGGCTAATTTTTATATTTTGGGAAAACACATGCAAGGTCTGTCCAGAAGGTATCCAGTCATATAATATGAAAAACAGAGACATGTATTGAAGAAGATGCAAGATACAAGAAACATAGTACCCAGGACAATGACACCTGAGTCCCCTTCAAAGTAGGCACCTTGGGACCTCACACAGTTCTCCCAGTCACCATCAGCTACTCTGTCCTATTTTCCTGAATCTCATCAATGGTCTGAAGTCTCTTCCCTTTCAAAGGTGATTTCAGTTTGGGGAAAAACCAGAGGTCACAGGGTGCCAGATCCGGGCTGTAGGGGGACTGAGTCACCTGGGTGACTTGATGTTTTGCCAAAAACTCTGCATGAGACATGATGCATGAGCAGGTGCATTGTTGTGATGGAGCTGCTAATCACCAGTTCCCCCAGCTGCAGCCTCTGAACCATCTGAATAGTTTCTGCACAGGAATGTTCAGGCTTAACATAAAATTTGATGCAAATTTGTTGCTCTACTCAGTCATTTTGAATGTGATGGCCACACAGTACACATGCTCACTCAATGGTGTCTACCACCCCCACTGACTAGCACAGTGAAGTCGTCATTGTTCACACATGTGCATTCCAGTCCACTCTCCTTGGCTGCCAGGTTGCATTGATGGTGACATCACACAAACTGTTCTCATGTTAACAATGGCTGGAGTGTTTCCAGGCCAACCTACATGACAATTAGGCTCAAACTTGTACTGACAATGTAACCTCACTACATAAATCACATCTGGTCAAAGTGAAGGCCCTTCCTGGACCTTAGACAAAAGTCATCCATCCCTGGTCCACAATGGATTCAGGCCAGGGCCCAGGAAAAGGCTTCCCATTGGTGCAATTCACCACTTAGAAGCACTCTGCCTCGTACTGCTGTGTCCTTTGCTCCTCAGGATGACCCAATTGGCTGCAAAGAGCTTTCCTCTGCACCCCAGGGTGGGGTGGACCCAGAGAGCCACGTTCCTTTCCTGGGTGAACGTACACACCCTCCTGCACGTCCCAGGGGGTGTGGGTGAGCTGGCTGATTACTGGACATTAATACCCAAAAGCTACTTGGCATAAATAGTACATTTCCAGATTGGTGGTGTGAGGTTTGTTTACGCACTGAGGTCCACCTTCCCACATAGCAGCAGCTTCCAGAAGGTTCTTCGTCTCTCAAGTCAGTTCCCAACTGAGCCAAAGTGACATGAGGGTTCTGGCTGAAATTGAGCGCTTCCGAAGCAATGTTTATGTTCTTTAGACACTCTTTCCCTTTCTGAAAAGGAGAGGCTGGCTCACCATCTGGCCTACGCACCCTCCTCGGCAAGCCCGACAGCCGGAGCAGCTCGGAGGCCACCCCTCCACCCAGGCTGGGGCCTGCCCCCACCAACACCCATGCTCCTCAGTCTCCCTGCCCACCGACGTGTCTTCCCTGGGAGAGGTCCTGCTCTGGCCCCTGCTCTGCATCCCCCGTGACAGCTGGTGTCCTCAGCTCCGCCCCCCCTCCGCTGGCTGGCGGGAGATTGGTGGCAATAACAGTTCAGTCGCCTACAACCACGTGAGCGCCCGACTGGGAGCAGGAGAGGAGGAAGCAGGGTCCCCGCAGAGACACAAGCTTCCAGAAATTCGCTGACCTTGAAAATGTTATGGAGAGATAACAAATGTTTAGGGTTCAGATAGCTGTGCTTAAATGAGATGCAGCAGGATGTGAAAAGGATGAACAGAGAATGACTGAGTAGTGAGAACATTTACATAATGCATCATTTTCACAACCCAGCCCCGATCAAAAGGAAAAATATCATTTCAATAGTTGCTGGAGAGCCTTCTGGCAACATTCAACATCCATTTCTGATTAGGGGCAAAAAGAAGAAGAGAAGAGCTTAATAAATAAGAAGTAGGAGGAAACTCCCGTGACATGATAAAAAAGAAACAAGAATAAAAAGAATTCAGTAAGGAGACTTATTCCAAAATAAATGAGCAAAACTTTAATAGCCTTCCTACACATCAAAAAGTGGTTATTGAAAAATATTTATAATATTAGAAAAATATCTAATTCACAACAAAAATGGCTAGAAAAAATGTAACAAAAATCTACCAGATTCATATGAATGCAACCATAAAACTTCGCTGAGAAACTGCACATGTGTGAACAAATGGGGAGTCACACCATTTTTCCTGGATTGTTTTTAAAAACGCCAGCTTCCCCTAAATGTTCCTACAAAGATAACATCATCATCATAAAATTCACAAATGGTTGGGGTTTTTTTTTTGAAGGAGGAAGAAAAAGGATGTCAGAAGATGAGGCTTAGGCGCCTCCATATGATTAAATACACAAGACAAGCCAGGAAAGTTTGAATAAGAATAACGAGGGGACTGGTACAACAGATGTTAGAACGATATTTTTTAAGCAGCAATTAAAGCCATTTGGTAGTAAAAACCAAAATAGAAAGTTTGATCAACAGACCAGAATGAAAAGTCTGCAGAAAACTCACAAAGAGAAAGTAGGTGCCAAAACAATGGCAGAATTGAGAATAAACTGAAATACAAGAGACTCGGAGGCTAGAATGCAATCAGGTGAACCCCTCCTGAAGCTCGGATTTCAGGCATTTGCTGCCTGTTACTCCTCGCCCACAGGCTGGCTGTCTCCAGCCAGCCCTGCCCTGACCCTGTGACGCTGACTTCTCTGCACCCTCCCAACATCCCTGCAGGCCGGTTAATGTGTTCCCCCCTGCATCCTGGGCCCCCTCTCATTTTGCAGCATGAAAAAAAAGGAGGTTCAAGCCACCAGTAGGAGACAAGCAGAGGCCTCCCACACTGATTTTCAAAGTGCTGACTTGATTTCCTTTACTGTGCTCAGAGCAACACAGCCAAGGGGGCGCCACAGGCCTGTGTCAGGACTGAGAAATCTACCTACAGGAAAATGTGCAAACCCGTTACATGACATGAAAGGTTCCCCATAGCCCAATACCTGAGCCCTGCCCGCCTATCTCGCTGGGCCTCCTCCCCAGACCACCTTAATCTCCCACGTCTCCACCACCACTCCCCCAACCCAGCGCCGGGCTCCCGGACGCTGCGGGAAAGACTGAAACCCTTTTACAGGTCTCAGCAGAGCAGTGACCTGTCAGAAATGTCCCCGTGGCTGCAGTGTGAGGACTTACTCTGCACCCGGAAAAGCCCGGTGACCACTCCCTGCCCAGCCCCTCTGACCGACGACATCTCCAGAGGCACGTGCCCCACTCGGCCCCATCCAAGGGTTTCTATTCCTCCTCAAAGTTTAACAGATAATTTTTAAGTTGCCTTCTGTTGCCAAAGTGTCTGTCTGTGCCAGGATTCACTACTCAAAATGACTACCTGCCTTATAGGCACAGCATAAAACGAAGGTGTTCCCGCTGAAACACTCCTAAGGAGGGTGAGGGGACATGAAAACCACAATTTTCCAAATGTAGTAAGAATTGCCAAAGGCAATGAACATATTTCGGACCATCGCTCGCTCAGGCTCTCCCTCATCCTAGGTAGACATGAGCCCCAAAGGGGAGTCACTCGCCTGACTCTTTCTATTTGGACTTAAACTAAAAATCTTAAAACAGCAAGTACATAAAGGCCAAGTTCTCTGAGCCTCTGCGTTCCGTGGAAAACAAGACCGTTGGAGGAAAGGTCACGCCGACCTCACGGCGATCCGGGACATTACTAAATGGATGTTAAACACCCAGAGTCTGGATGCATCCGAGGGTGGTCCAGTCTCCGGTGTCAAATTAACTTCCAGCACAGCTCAGAGAGACGCATTGTATTTTCAATATAGACCGTTTAAGGCCTCACCCACTTCAGATCACCTGTCCCCCAGAGCTCTGGAGGAAGCTCCCCTAGGGTGGCCTCCGCGGCTCTGCTCCTGGTCCCTCCAGCCCCGCCCCTGCGCCCCAGGCGGAGGCCGGCGCAAGGCTGATGGAGCACGCACCCGAACATGGCGACCAGCAGGTTCACCAGCAGGATGTTGGTGGATAACATGTAGATGCACACCAGGGGAATGGTGATCCACTCGGGGAAGCGCGGCAGGTTGTGCTCGTCCAGCTCCACGCACAGCGGCTTGGACTCGTTCCCCGTGAACGTGCAGTGCGCAAAGTCGTACGTGGTACCTGAGCGGGGGCGGACCGAGAGGCTGTGTGAGGACCCCTGCAGGGGAAGTGCCGGGACACTGGGGGGGGGGCCACACACATGACGGCGACCGCGCGATATGTCGAGCACTGTTCTAAGGCACTTTATCCACCCAAGGTGAAGCCTTAGCGTCCCACGTTCACCCACTCGAGTGTTTATTGAGCAGCTAGTGAGAGCCGGGGACTCCACAAGGACAGGAGGTACAAGAAAGGCAAGGTGGATGTGGTCCTGGCCCTGGGGGAGCTGCCCGCCTCTTTGGACAGGCGGAAAAGCAGCCACCCAAGCCCCAAGGCTCAGCCCGCGAGAAGGGAGAAGGACATGCTCGTGAGCTCGGCGGGTGGAGTGGAGGCAGCTCCCCTGGAACAGCGCCCCCTGGAGGGAGGTCTCCCCTCTGCCCACTGAAAACAACGGGCAGCCATCAGTCTGCCTTACATGGAGGAATGATGCAGGACAGACTCCGTCAGAGCATCATTCTGGCTGCGGCACAGGGGACAAGGACCTGAAGGGAATGGGGTGGGGTGGGGCGGAGCAGAGGGACGGGTGCCACTGAGATCCAAGCAGGCAGTCAATGAGGCGGTGGGGTAGGTAAACATGGCTGGATCTCAAAGACAGCAGAAAAAAACAACACTGGCTGGTGAATTGGACACAGGGGGTGAAGTCCCAGGAGGCGTCCAGGACAGGACACTGACGTGCACAACTGTGTGAACGGCAGCGACAGAGCCTAGAAAGGGGGCCTCGGAGGAGGTCCAAGTCTGGAGGGGAGGAGGGAGAGCTTTCATTGGGACGCCCTGAGAAATTGCAGGTTAGGCAGGGGGTGAAGCGCCTGGCCCACTGAGAGTCGCCCTGGGCTGGAGGCCTTGTCTGTGTGTGAGTGAGGGGCGCTGAGGGAGGATGGGGCGGGGCTGGCTTTGCCATACGGAACGGAGAGACATGGAGAAGGTGTGTGGCTTCCCAGGCACCCGCCGAACTACTGGCCCTTTAAGTTACAGTGAGCGGCCACCCCTAGGAGGCACTAACCCAAGTGCAAGGGCTCTCCCGAGGACCAATGGCGCTCACTGAGGAGAACGTTAGCACAGTGGGCGGATGGGGGTAATGACAACAGGGTGCTTGTCCGCAGCTGAGTGGAAAGAGGGCTGCTTCTCAGATCTTGAAAGAGGCTCAGCAGGAGAAGCCAGAAGACTGCATGAGGGCTCCAGGACAAGGGAGAGAACAGCAGGGAGCTGGGCAATGTGGCCCACAGAGCAAGGAAAACTCCACAGTGCTTCTTCCATGGCCGATCGGGATGCGACAAATCCAGACTACTGTGAGCATCACAGAGAGGCCTTAGCTCCCCGTGGCTCACGCCAGTCTGCACGTGCCCCACCCTCCCCTGATGGGACCTGGGGGTGGCGGCCCATGCCATCTGTGCCACCGGAAGCCTGCCTCCAAAAAACAGCTGGCAGCGGGAGGATGTTGGAGGTTTAACGTCCAGGTTCCAATGCAAACTTTTCAATATTGCTCATCTTTAAATAAGTGGGTGCCCAGTTATATCAGAGAGTACAATACTCATTTCTGAACTTAACGAGGCTTGTCACTCTCAACATCCACATTGCCGCTGAATATAGAGAAACTATTGTTTTTTTTTAACATTTAAAGATGACGGGCTGAAATGGTGGGCACACGCCTGCAAAGCGGACATAAAATTCTGTTCAGGAGCAAAGAAAAGTTCCGAGGGTTAGTGTTCCCTCCCTGGTGCTGGCCCAGCTCAGGCCACAGGCTTCCAAGACAGCCCCGAGGGTCATCAAGGGGAGCCCTGGAGGCTGGCTCTGGAAGCAACAGCCTCCGCCCAGCTGTCTCCACCCAGGCCGCGCCGGGCTCACCGTCCACGTCACTGGGCACCTGGCCGAACATGGCCAGGTAGGGCTCGTAGATGACCGAGCGGAATATCCACCTCCAGCGATGCTCATTATGCCGGAGGATTCCTTGCCTGGCCACGCCAAAGGCCATCATCCACACGGCGAAGAGGAACAGGAAGAAGAACACGTCAATCAGCTGTCAAGAGAAGACGCCAGAACTGAGTCAGGGCGGTGCCAGGTCCACTCAGCTGACCACCGAGAGAGCAGAGGTTCCAGGGCCCGGGGAAGCTAAGCCACCCAGCATTTGCTCTCTGATCTAAAAACATGGCCATCCTCACCTTTGGGTCTGGGGACTCTATTTTCCAGAATTAAAACGGACTGACACATTTCAGTTTGCTGGTCTCCAAACCAGCTCAGTGATAGGAGCTTTCTGAACAAGGGACCAGCCTAAGAGCAGAGGAGGGACCTTCACACCCTCTAAACCCCCAAATTATTCCCTTAGTTGTGTTTTGGAGAAAAATCAAAGCCATCCTTATTAAACAAGAATTGCACGCTTTAATTTTTTTTTGAAATTTTTTGCACCCATAACATGACTTCATGGTGACATGAGGCCTCAGATATGCTTTGAATAAAAACCACAGCCTCAAAGAGCCCCAGTATTGGAAAGGAAGCTCCAGAGGAGCCCATCCAAACGCCCATCTGACTCACAGACAGAGAAGCAGAGGAGATCAGGGCATCTGCAAAACAAGCTCAGCAAAGCCACGTTGCCCGTGGGTGGTTCTCTCAAAGCTATGCGGTGGGAGGGGCCACAGGTGCTTTCCCTCCACCTATGCTGCACGGCTGCGAGAGTGAAGTCCCAGCCTGCACTGGGCTCTCGCTCCCTGCATGTCCCCAGGCAAATGCCAAGACCTCCCAGGACCCACTGTCCCCATCTGTGAAATGGGTGCAGGAGTCCCCATCCTGCCATTGCTCTTAGTGAATTATTAAGACTTAAATGAAGGCACTTGGTGCAGTGTCAAACCTGAGTCAGTACTTCATGAGCAATGCACCAAATTATGCTGTTTTGCTCCTAACGGTCACTTCAGGTTCAGTTTCAGCCTGGGAAGGGTCCCAGATGCCAGCGCACAGGGCGAGCCAACCTCGCGGACGGGAAATGCAGCTGTCACCCTTGGAGAGGACCTTCCTGTCTGACAGAACTGCGGGTGTGGTGTTCCTCGTGCTTACCATCCTCTGCAGCATTATAATCTTGGGCCCCAGATTCCTGCTAACCGTGAAAATGTGGATCAGCCTCAGTGTGAATATAATATAATCCAGGCAAAAAATGACTCGTCCGGAATACAAAGCGGTTTTGTTAGAAGGGTGGAGCCTGGGGAAAGAAGGGGAGCAGCATGTGCCATGTGCCGACGGGACATTTCAAAGTTTTGTTTTTTAAAAACGACCAAAGGTGAAGAAACAGCCAAGAGCCGGGCGTCCGAGAGTGAGTCGAAGCCTCGCACGCCTCCCGCCCTCACGCCCAAGACCAAAGGCCACCGGCTTCCGTGCTCACGGGCTCCAGCAGAGGCCAGAATGTCCCAGAAAACAGTTTGCAGAGGTTCCGGCCACTTCAGTCCTTCATCCTCCAATACTGTCGTCGGACCCCGTGACATCATCCGTGACATCATCGCCACCCTCCTGGCTCTTGGGGCTCTGATGACTCTCCCCACCCCACCCCCAGCCCAGGCTTCCCCTAATGGAATTTACCTCATTCCCACCAGACTGTGTCATTAGCTCGCCACCTGCTGAGGTGCGAATTGAAAACCACCTGTACTTTCTTAACTGGGATGCTCTAACCAACCAACCGTGATTCAAATGCTGGGCCCTTAACCCAAGCAGAAAAGGAGGTTGCTGGAGGAGGAAATGGAGTTTTTACGCCCTCAAAATTGCAAAGTGGGCGCCCTCTGGGGAGGTGTAACGTGGAGTGGCAGGCTTCTCCGCAAAGGGACGTCTGTGTGCTGCTCACAAGGAACCCTGAGCTTTACCTTGGAGCTACAAGGGGGAACCCCAAAACCGGAATGATCTTCTGGAGGGCAGACCCCCTTGTAGGACAGGCTCCCTTCCTTGGGCGCATGTTCTAGGAACCCATCTCTATCCGTGCGCCAGCTGGCACTGCTGTGAGAGGCTGTGTTTGGTTTCAGTGAATTTTTTTTGAAGACCTTTTCAATGTGTCTGCCCATTTCATGATGGTTGATTTACAAAGGCACCTGCCCACACTGTGCTGAGTGTTCAGCAGTTTTTGACCAAAAATGGCTTGACCTTCCTGCCCCACCCTCCCTATTCACCCTATCTCGCCCCAAGCAACTTCTTTTTTGTTTCCACAGATGAAAAATGTCCTCAAAGGAAACGTTTTGCCAATGTGGAAGAGGGAAAACAAAAAATGCCAGAAGCCACCCAAATCAACAAGTTCAAAAACTGTTTAGAGCAATGGAAAAAAAATCTCGATAGGTGTATTACATCAAACGGAGAGTACTTCGGAGGTGACTGAAGTTTAAACATGTAAGAATAAACACACAATTTTTATAGATACATTCCGGGTTGGGGGCACCCCGTCGTATGTGGGGAAGGCAGGGCTGGAGGGGCACAGGCACCATGAGCCGTGGGGTTGGGCGGACTCCAGTCTCTCCATCCTGAGGTTTGCACGTTGCTTTCTGCCCTTGACCGTAACTTTAGAGTGGTTTTTCTCATGAGATCGCTTTCTGATTGGAAATATGCTTGTAAGGAAGGGGGGCAGGCTCTGTAACCAGCCTTCAAGTTGACGTTGAGGACCTTTCTGAGGCTGGTACAGCCCAGAATGAAGACGCCAGGCAGTGTTTAACCTCCTCTTCGTTCTCTACTCTCCCCAGTGTCCAGTGCTCTCTCCCCGAGTTCCGTGAGCACAGATGAAACACCGTGAAGGGTCCCTCTTCAATGACAGATCACTGGGAGGGAGGGAAGGAGAGGGGACGAGGGTCCGCTGCCACACCGTGTCTCCACACAGCACAGGCGGCAATGGCAGTCTTCGCTCACAACCTGTGATGGGGGGCGGGGGTTGGGGACTGGCTTCTCTCGGCCTTGAACGTCAGAGGCCTCTCCTTCACCTTTCCTTCCAGGAGAAGCCAAACCACCCGCCACCGGGGAGAGCGGTGGGGGGGGGGGGGACTGCTTACCGAAACGCGATTCCCGCGAGGAAGTAGAAGAGGCCAAGCGTGTCCATGACGTTCCACAGGTTGGTGAAGTAGTTGACCCCGTTCATGTACCACTGCAGCACGAAAGGGACGGAGAGAGGACGTGAGCCGCGTGGCACCGCCAGCCGCCTCCAGGGTTGCTCACGTTGGCGCGTGTTTTTCCAGATCCATTCGGAGCCAGCGATGGGCCCGCGGAGCCCTGACACACGGCTCACGATGCCCTGGGGGCCTGGGACGCGCACGCTGGCTGTTCTGTCCTTCCCGTGTGGCTGACGAAGTCAGCAGCGGGGACTCGAGTATCCTTCCTGCTGAGCCCACAGGGAGTAAGTACAGCCTGTGGGGACAGATTGCAGGGTCCCCGGGGACAGACTGTGGGGTCCCCAGACCACCAGGTACTAGAGCCCTCAGAAGCTGGCCCTCGCAATGAGAGAACCGCTAAGTAGATCAGTTCTGGGGCTCAGAGCACCGCTGCAGTGAGAAAACATTCAGGAAAAAAAAAAAACTGAAAAGAGGCCTCTTTTCTGGACAAAATGCTAGATGTGGGCTATTTTCATAAAGTGCCAGGACCCTGTTTCACCACATCTGTCGGGATTTTGGGGGGTCAAAGGGCCCCAAGATTGCACAGTGCTCTGCACAAAGAAATGGCAGAACTTATTTTAAATAACCATCCACCATCCATTCAGTGGACCCAGGAGTTATTTAACAACGACTTTTGAGCTTACTGTCTGCCTTGGTTTAAAACTCCCGTTTAGCAAATCAGCGTCTGCTCCCGGGCCCGGGGACATGGGAATAAAGAGCATATTTTTTTGATACCCAGACACAATCTAAAACAGTAACATCCTGGGTTTGGGTTTTTCTAACAAGTGTGAATGAGGTTCATCAGGACAGCACCCTGCGTGCAGAACGGTTGGAGGGCCCCAACCAGACCGAGGATTCCACACGCAGGAGCCTGCAGACAAGTAGAGAAACAGCGCCCCCGAGTGTCGTGTTCCTGGCATGACAAGGCTCTTCAAGGCTGTCTTTTGCTCAAAGGGCAGGGCTGCCCTGCATACGAGGCTCCAAACCCTCACCCTGAACCCACACCCTCGCCTTAATCCGCGACATTGCCGAGTAGCAACTGCCCATTCAAAAGCAACTTCCAAAAGGAAAGAGCAGCAGCACTTGGACAAAGCCGTCAGGAGAAAACGCAGTCAGAGCTGACATGGTCCTGGAAACCAGTGTAAGACCCTTTCCTAGGCAGCGACTCCGTGAGGTCGAGACCAGTGCCGTTCCTCCCTCCAGACTCCTGCAGCACCGGGCACAGTGCTGTGAGCTCTGTGAGCCGTGAGCACCGTGGCACCAGGTGTCCAGCGGATGAGACACTGGGTTTGGGCTCAGAATGGACGCGGGAAGCAACAGCACCAGCAGTTCCCATAATCTGAAAACTGCTGGGTCTGAAAGGATTTTCTGGGGTCACGTTTTCTGACAGTTTAGGGACAGCACCGCCCTTCACCGCTGAAATTCACGTATTCAATTAGGAGCCGAGCACCTACCACATGGTGAAGGACACATACACAAAAAAAGCAGATCCCAAGAAACTTCAGGAACGTACCATGGATAATTCACACAAACTTGCTGAAATCCACAGGGACTTACATGACCTTCCAACACGGTCACTGCCACATGCTGGGCACTGAGTTAGGAAGTCCTCCCACCCCCTGCCGTTCACCCTGCCGCCTCCTGAGGAGGGACCGGGTTCACAGTCCAAGGTCAAGGTGCTCTCTGAGCCTGCTCAGGATGCCAAGGAATCGTTCTTCCTCTGTGAACACGAGTCAGAGACCAAAGAGAGCACCAGTTGCTAAGAGACGCGCCAGGAGCGCCGAGATGCTGAAAGTGGGTGGGCTTCCCCCTCATGAGAACAGGTATCTGGGGAAACCACCACTTGGGACCTTTGGGAGCAGCCTCTGCTCCTCGGGGTGCAAGGAGGACGCCACCCAGGGCGGCCGTCCTACCTGCCTCACTTCGTCGCAGAACAGGACGAAGACCAGCCCGTAGAGGACCAGCTCGGGCGGGCGCGGCGCCGGGTGGAAGTCCATGAGCAGCACGTAGGCGAAGAGCAGCAGGAAGGCGATGTAGAAGACCACGTTCCAGGAGAAGACCACGAAGGGGGACGTGAAGAAGGCCACGTAGTGCCACAGCAGCGACCTGGGCCTGTCGCCCGGCTTCTTCCTGGACGGGGCGAGAGCCTCCTCACTGTCCCGGCAAACACCGAGGCGAAGGAGGCAGCCCTCCCTCTGGGTACAGGGGGACTCGGCCCCACGGCCAGGGCGGGGGGACCGACCCGCCAGAGGTCAGCCCTTGGCGTTCGGTGGTTGGCAAATCCAAGTTCTGCCCACCAGAGTGGAGACACGGCCCCACCTCTGCCTGTTTGAAATCAAGCCCAAGGAAAGCCAGAGAGGATCCCGGACCTAATTGCAGGCGGTGGAGCAAACTCCCTAAGTTCCGGGCCTTCGCCCTGTGCACAGGAGCATGTACGCACACGCACACACACCTGTACACACATACACACATGTACTCACATGCACACACATGCACGCGCGATGATGTACGCTAGTTTCGTACCTAAAGGATACAAAGCCACAGCCAACCAAGGGTATGACGAACAAACACAGGATGATCTTCCAGTTCTTGGTGTCTCGGGAGATCTCCCCGTACCACTGCTTGGAAAGGAAGTTCTACAGGGACAGAGACAAAGCACAGGGGCCTCACTAACGCAGCGACGTGCAGGATGGCTCACGAACCCCCCTCCCGGCCCCTGCACCGCCCCACAGTGAGCCAGGTCCCTCTCCGTCTGCATTAGCCGCTGGACTTGAAGGGCCTGAGACGATCTAAAACTCTGTCTGACTCTCAGTCCACCCCTGACTCGGGCCCTCCACAGTGAGATTCACCTTACAGCGGCTGCCATTCAGTCCAGCTTAGCTGCAGTCACCAATGGTCGTTTTCACAAACTCGGTGCTAAATATTGGCTGCATGAACATGCAGACGACGGACGTGGAATGAAACCCCAGTTCTGCTACTTCCTAGCAGTGCAAGCCAGAGAATGTTCCAGAACCTCTCTGAGCTCCTGACCCCTCATCAGCACCATGCAGTGATGGTCACCTGGAAGAGCACTGTGGAGGTGAACGTGAGCCTGCGTGGGGCAGACAAGTGGTGGCCCATCCATCTCTTCTGGACCCCCACTCACAGCCAGGCTCCTCCCACTGGGATTTGGGGAGGAACATTCCCCCCGCAGCGACCTGAGGCACCTGGGCACACCTGCAGTGACTCAGCACAGAAAAGCTCCCTACTGGCTTTCCCCACTTTGTACCAGGAATGGGGACACTACGGTGACAGCGACAGCTGACCGAGGGCCAGTCCCTTCCACTCATCACCACACAGAGCCCTCACCGCACCCCTTCCCTGTCACCTGACCTGTTCCCATTTCACAGGTAAGGAACCAGGGCCCAGGGGCCCATGGAACAGGCCTGGCCCACGCACCTGGCTAGGGGTCCGGGGGCTGCAGACCCAGCCCACAGTGCCAGGGCCACACTGACTGCTTTGCGGACATTCTCTTTCCAATACCACCTCCGATGCGAAGGCCTCCCCCGAAGCCTGCGCATTGCCCTCCCCGTACCATCCCCGCCTTCTCCTGCCACGGCTTTCACGCTGCAGGTGAGCTTCACTGTCACCACCACGGTTTCTAAGTCACTAACAGCATCTGACGTAAAGTGTAAAAGGCACATTTCTGGGGGTGAGCACACGCTGTCTACCTGGACCCCGGGCTGGGCGATGAAATGCTGGTCCGTCGCCTCCACCGCCAGCTCCAGACAGTTGCTTCCGCCCCAGGCCTCACAGGAGTAGACCAGCAGCTGCTCGGCCAGCTCTTCGTCGCTGCTGTAGCACTCGGTGAACAGCTCTGCCACCACCACGGGCACCGGAGAGAGCGGAGCTGAGGCTGCCGGCCAGGACCCAGCCTCCCCCGCCCCCAGCCACGCCTGACTTCGAGAAAACCCGGGTGTGAGCACCCACTTTGCAAAAAGCCTAGCAAATACTGGCACCACGTAATTCTTCACCCATCGCACACCATCCCCGGCCCAGCTGCCAACACGGAACGGGCTGGGCTGAGCACCAGGAGCCCCCGCTTTGGTGGGGCTCGGCCGCCGGGGAGGGGACCCAGGCCCTCTGCCCCCTTCCCCGGGCAACCTCCATCTCATGTACATTCTGGGCTTTCCTCTGGAGAGGTTTCTCTGCAGACAAGGCACAATACAGAAAAGCCAAGAAGATCTAAAAAAAACACTGACCTATCGCTAGGAGTGTGTCTGTGTTTGGAGACCTAATGGCAGAGACTAGCATGCAGATCCTGTATTGGAAGCCATTGCCTAGTGGATGTTGGCCAGAAATTAACATAATTTAGTGTCTTAAAAGAAATCATCACTTTTTTTTAACCAATTTAGGCCTGTTTTCATTAGCTGCAGCAATAGACAGACCTACTGCGTTCAGCAAATTGAAAACTCCCTGCTGAAAAAGGGACCAGCTGGGCAGGTCTGGAGCTCCCACCTGGGGGCCCTGGGCTTCTTGCATTCCCGCCTTACTCAGGGCCTTCCGAGCCGAGGTCATGGACAAGCTCTGCCTGGGGACACTGACTAGCAAACAGAGGACAGACGTCCTGGGAGAGCGTGCTCAGCACCATCCCCCCCAACTTATTCCAGACACCTCGAAATCTCGCCCCAGAGGGAAGTATGAGTTGGCCCCCTGCAGCCCCACAAGGAGGTCTGCACCCCCTGACTTCGGGGAGCTGCAGGGCAGGCGGCAGCCTTTACTCACATCACTGAAGGGGAGTCAGGGCCTGGGGGACTGAGCCAAGATGCTTCTCTGGCTGCTGCCTTTGCCCTGAATGATAAACCAGGGGGCTGGGGCCCTATCATCATATATATATTCATTCATAGATATGAATGAAACTGGCAAGCTAACTGGATGACTTGCAAGACGGTAAATCCTCAGACCTGTCACAGTTTCTTAATAGCCCCCAAAACAATACACATCACCCCTCCCTGTGGTGCTGAGCTACTTAGACCTGGACCAGGGGAGTGAGAGAGGGTGAGAGAATCCGAGAGTGCCCACTTGCATTCTGGGAAACGTCAGCAAGCACCAGGATCGGGGGCCTGTGGGTCTGCCACGACACACGGGCCCCAACTGTGTGGTCTGCAGCCCACGCATCAGATCAAGGCACACGGACATGACACTGACATCTGCCACCTGGCACGTGAGTGCCACAGACCGTCCCTCGGGCCCCTGGCATGCCTGTGCCCGCGGGACACCCCGTCCAGGAGGCTTACCCACCGCGCGGGTCTCGTACTCGTTGGCCAGCTCCTCGGACTCCCCGGCGGCATTGATGTCGTTCTTCACCTTGGCCAGGGTCTTCAGGAGCTTGCTGGCCCCCAGGGCCGCCAGAGTGCAGCCCCTGGTCTGGCGGGAGAACAGGAGAGCATCAGGGCTAACTTGAGCAGTTCTTGGAGGTGGTCAGGTCAACACTAATGTCAGACAGGGGCAAACTCGTGGCAAAGGCAGAAATGGTGAAATCTGAACTGTTGATCACGATTCAGAGCAAAATGTGCAACGTGCATGAAACAGACTGGGACATGAAACCAGCGTATCCAAGGGAAACAGCGAGGTGAGTGCCACCCAAAACGACATCAAGACTGTGACATGGTGGGGGGCCCACTACCCAGCCTCAGCTCTCACAGCTCAAAGGGGGCACGTACATCTCGGGCCCTGGGAAACCCGACGTGTGTGAAGCAAGACTGTGTGTGAACTCGATAGTCAGTGCCCGATTTGATGCTCTACAACCGGAGTGTAACTTCTTTTCAACCCCCATAAATCATTTACAAAACATCCTTATGTGCCTAACCGCAAAGAAAAATCTCAGTTTCCCAAAGCAGACTGTGTCCAGGCCCTCCTTCCTGTCCACTGTGCAATAAAGTTGGAGGTTGATGTCAGAAATTAAACCAGAAGCTCATCCACTTGGACGACAGTCACACCCCCACACACCCACTGGGAAGAGGCGCCTCCTGGGTATTCCCCCCCACCCCCTCCCACCTTTGTCCACATGCATTCGCCAGACAGCAGCCGTCCGGCCCACGGAGGACATGTTAGAGTGGGCATAAGCGGCTAGAGAAGGTCGGACCAACCACAGCAGAGCTCGCATGTTCGGCGTGGGCGTGCACGCTCACCTGCTCCCAGATGACTTTGGAGAGTTCCTTCTTGTTCTGCAGAACGGCCCAGATGAAGAGCGCCTGTAGCGGGTGCCGAGTAATAGGAGACACGTCCTGGGAGGGTGAGAGCGTGCGGTCAGCCAGGGCAAGGCGGGCGTCACTTTGGCTGCGAAGCTCCCAGAGCGAAAATGGGGTTGGGGAGACAGCCCTACACGTGCAGAGGCTCCGGAACTGGGTGGATGAGGCCCGGTCCCAACAGCACCGGGATGTCTCAGCTCCGAGGCTCCCCCGGTGCTGATTTGACACAAAACCTTGTATCCATCATAACAGACAACGTAAAACTGGACGGAGAGGGATCGAGGGGAAACGGTGCTAAGAGCAATTTAAAAACTGAGCCAGTTCTGACAGCCGAAGAGAAAGCAATTCCCTCATAGAGACTGATTTCGCATCGAGAAACACGTTCCAACCACATTCTAACTTTGTTGTAGTTCATGTTCAATTATCACCACATGAAGCTATGGTTTACCTCTTGGGGCTTCCATTCCTAATACATTCATTAGAATCCCAGTCCCTATTCAGCACCTCATACCTTCCAGTGGGAACCACTAAATGTCCGTTTGTCTATATCTAGGTTCTGCCAAGGTCCAAATTGGTTCAGGCACAGTTGTGGGCACAGCAGAAGGTTTTAACAGAAATAGTGACAAAGAGAAGCTTTCTATCTAAACACTTCCAATTTTTCCAAGCACCAAGTCATTTTGGTTTTTGTGATACACACACACAGATTAAAATCCTAGAATCACAAAGGAATCACAAAGGGAATCCAGTTTTCCCAGAAGCAATCCTGAGACAAGTAGTTTATTTGAGAGGTGATCCCAGAAAAACTGATAGGAGACTGAGGAAAGGAAAGCCGAAAAGAAAGAACCAGTTAAAGTGCATTGTCAACAAGCTGTCACGGTGGTTAGCCAGACATCAGTCCCACTACGCAGCCCTAGGAATCCGAGTAGAATACATGCCTCAGAATTACCTGTCCACACAGGGAGGGGGCATTGGGCTCAGAGCAGAGCCAAGTGTCAGCAAAGAGCCACAGGTGCCAGCGGTTGGGACCTGGGCAGGGATGTACTTAAGGCAGGAAGGCCTAGAGAATACGGGTGCCGCATTCACAACATCCTCTTCCAGGGGACCCGGGTTGTCCTTTTGGGACTGTCTGCTGCCCTTTTATCCACAAGAGAAAAGGTGGACATTCTTCAGTCCTTCACATGGGCAGCAGAGAGCAGTTTTAGGCAGGGCGCGTCCAGAAGGCTAAGACCTGAGCAGGCAGCCGTCCGCGCACCCCCACGCCCCCACAGATGCTTCCGAAAGGGCATGCAGCACACCAGGCTGGCAAGCAAGGCAGGCCGCAGAGCAGAAAGCGGACATCAGAAAACTCCCCGGAGAGACTCGTCTTAAGTAAAGGCAGCAGAAGAACATTAGAAGGCTGACGCCTTTGCTACTTTGTGGCAACGAGGCAGGGAGTGGGAGAGGTGGAGGCGGAGAAACACTTTTAAAGGGAGACTCAGAAGATCAGAGGGGCAAGGCAGACAGCTCTCCCGGGACCTACCTGCAGTTCTACGTCTGTCTCGTCCCGGCTATTTCTGTCTTCCTTCCGGAAGCCTCTTCGGAAGTTGGCCACCAGTTTCCAGACGAACGTGAGGAGGGCGTCGTTGTAGGAGTTCTTGGCGATCTGCAGGTTCCGATAGACCAGGGTGCTGAAGTGGTTGGAGAAGAGCTCAGTGAGGATGTCGCTGGTGAGGAACCTCCGCAGGTTCAAGCCGTTCTCCAGGAACAGGCGGACGAACTTGGGTCTGTCCTTCACGAGAGCCATAAACATGACTTCCCGCAGGTCCTCGGACTGAGGAGAGAGAGCGGCGGAGAGAGGGCTCAGCCCGGGGCCCGCTAACCGGACACCAGGCTCTTCTTTCTCCACCACATCGTGGTGGCCTGGCCACAACGTCCGTGCGGTTTGTTTCCATAAAATAAAAGACACACGTTTTATTTTCACCAATAACTTTATTGATTTGGATATTCTGAGTGTGCTGCCGGCTGTCTCCCTCATGACAGAACATTGATTGCTCTCGGTTAAGGTCCACATTTGATCGCTCTCGACTTCAGCTGGTCTACCTGACCTTGGAGCATCCAGCAAGAAATCTCTGGCACAAAACTTCGCAAACCACTCTCCATCAGGCACAGCACCTTCTCCGTACACTGCACGAATCTTTTTTGTGTGTTTCAGTTGCATTTTTACTTTTCTCAAAATAATAAAGCATAATATGCCCAAAATGTTGCATATTTTCTTCCATCTTCAATTAAAATGGCTACACAAAAATTCACGCTGCTGTGACAGCTGTCACAACACAATCTAACAACATTGTTTCGAATGAAGTTCGAGACCACTAAGCGTTACTCGCTACTGGAGCCGAGCCGTCTTATGGGAATAAAACGAGCGAACTCTTTGGCCAACCCAATTTTTCCAGCCACAGAGTAATAGTATCTTCAACTTCCCTTGAGCTCCTGTTTCAAGAATAAAATGTATCTTTGCGATTGTAGTGCGAGGTTGGATTGTAGCTCAAACATCTAGATGGGGGAGGGGCCAGCGGGGTCCTGACATCAGCCAGACGTGGGCCTGGGCGTGGCCTGACCTCTCACTGGCATGAAGTGGAAATACAGACACCCGTGGGAGATGGGGCTGGTCAAGGCCTCACCCCAGCGCCCGGCACAGAGGGAGCAGCTGGTTACAGGGTGGGGAACACGCAGCTCACACCGTCTCTGAAATCTACAGCAGACACGGATCCTGAGCCACCAGAGCCAACGCCTCGCTCTGGGCCATGGGGCCCCTCAGGCCACATGCCACCAAGCCGATCATGTTATATAACAATGAATCACCGAAACACCTAACAGTTATCATTTGTCTTTATGTCACTTTCTGGGCTGCCGAGAAAACCTACCCCACAGAAATTTTCCTTAATAGAGGGACAGTCCTGTTTACTTCAGACAGAAGCCCGTGGTCTACGAGCTGCAACAGCTCCCCGACATGTTCCGTCTGTCCCCCGTAGCGTTTGCTACAGTTCTGTTCAGTCGCCAAAGTTAAAAATGAGAAGGCTCATAAAAATCCACATTTCCAGCCTTAAAATCCAGAAGCTCAGACAACGGGGAGAGCCATGAGCTGGGGCCGAGCGGCAACTGCCTCCGGAACCCGAGTCCTCTGGGCCCCAAGGAGCCCAGCACCCTCACTGCCGTCTGCCTGCCCACTTTGACCATGTGACTCTCCTGCCCCTGGCATCCCCTCCCAAGGGCAGCCTTTGTGGCCGCTGTGCCTGTCCAGTGCTGGACTCCTGGGGACCACACACTTGCCTAGAGATACAACTGTCCAGGATCCTGGGGGTCCCCACGAGAAGGCTCCAGGTGGGGCTCCAGGTGGGGGGGAAGAGGTGGCTGTCCTGAGGGCAGCGTCCTTTTCTCCTCTGTCCTCAGGGCAAGTGTTCCTTGTGCCCAGAGTTTCACGTGTCCTAAATCCATCTGCCTTTCTGTTGGTCACACACGTGACAGCATGGATGTCCATCAGAGGCACCCACAGGCACTAAAACACGGGGTGCTGGAGCCCACCTCTGACACTGTCCTTTAACGAGCCTGAGATCCAGTTGGACCGTTTGCCTTGCTACTGGGTTCCCAGGCAGCACCCAAGCTGACACAGGCCCGGGAACCACGCTGTTCGAGCCACGGGCCCGCAGGGAAGAGGGAAGGTTCACAGTCAGACACATCTGTGTCTCCAGACCCACTGCTCCCATCACCCAGATGTGCGATCCGGATCCAGACCATCTCTGAGCTGTGGTCCACTCTCCTGGGAGACAGGTGCCTGTGGGGACGAAACAGGGCTCGGACAGGCCTTGGTACCAGAGGACAGAGGCTCAGAGAGGGCCAGGGTGGCGCCCACCGGCTGCCTCTGGAGCCCATCCCTACGCTTAACCTTTGTGCCCTTCACCCTTCACTGTCTGAGGCCAAGTTAATAAAATTGAATGTGCCGTTCAATATGCGCCTGAGCTTGTGTTTATTTGCACCTTCTGACCTGACTTAAGTAGAGCATTTCACACACAGGCATCCGTTTATGAACCAGTTAACTGCATCGTCTTACAATTCTACTTCCCCTCGACGAGCAAAAGCTTTGCCGTGCGCAACGAGATTCATTAAATGCAAAGGCCAAACACGAGAGGATGTGCGCTGCAGGAATAAATAATTTACAAATCCCAAGCCACGACTCTGCTTGCGTTCTATTATTAAAATTGACCACATGTTGATATAAATCAAGTCTTGGTCACTGGCGATACAAGAGTAGGCCTAAAAGTGCTTTCTGAACCTGGCTGCGAACACACACGCCTTCCCGGCTCTGCATACGAGTATGAAATTAAGCCAGTTCTCGCTGCTCACTGATGACTCAGGTTAATTCAGGAGAGCTGAAAACAAAGACCCGCACGGCCTTGCAGGTCCCAGCAGGACAGTCGGCGACTGTCCCTGTGGAACAGAGCTCCCGGGCTGATTTGAGGTCAGTGGCCCACGAGAGGACATTGCTGGCAAGGGCGGTGTTCTAACTCTGATTAAACTGAAAGCCAGAAGAAATGGCGCTCTCCTGGAGGGAGCAGTTCCCAGTGGGCGTGAAGCGTCCGTGGTGGCTGGGAGTGCAGCCTCGCAGCTCTGAGACACTCACTGCGCATCGGATCCCGTGGCGCCTTTCTCCCCAGAGCACCTCGCGGCTGGCGATTCTCCACCAGAGCACAGCTGGGCAGACGGGCAGCGCGCAGGAGTGCCGCTACCTTCACTTCTAGTTGGTCTACTTCGGATGCCGTGTCAGCCACCCGGCAGAGGTCCCCCCACTCTCCGCCCACCGGCTCCCAGGAGCTCCGCGCCTCCACCCCCAGGGGCCCCAGCAGCCCCCGCATTGTGGGTCTGCCCGAGTGCAATGACACATTCTTCCACGAGGGCTTGCGGTATGATCCCCGCACAGCACACCTCCTAAGTCAGCGTGACCAGCCCCACCACTGCCGCAGGGGGCAGGGAGGCTCGGCAGCACAGACGGGCCGGAGTGGACCAGGACGCACCAGCCCCTTACAAGATTCGGTCCTGAGGAGCTTGTGAGAAGTGGGCAGACCTGACGCTGGGGTGGCCCCGGGTGGGGGGGGCGTACTCGCCTCCCAGCGGCGGTCGTTGGTGAAGATCTCCTCGCTGGCCAGGTCCAGCTGGTTCCACTCCAGCAGCAGCTTCAGCTGCCCGTTCCAGTTGTCTTTGTCCTGCTCGTTGGTGCTGAAGGCTGCAAGGGGCGGGAAAGGGGCAGCTCACTGCAGCTGAAGAGGGTCAGCACCACCCGGGTCAGCGGGGCCCCTTGACAGAGCCACCTGTCACAGGGGTTCTGAGCATGCTCTCCTGGGAGCAGACCCTGTAACTTTGCTTTCGTTTCACTCATTCTCCCCAATATTCTGTATGTTCCAGCGTGTACTATGAGGTCAGTTCAGGAGATGATAACATCATTCCACTTCAGAGCCTAACCATGTAACTATGGTACATTGATATTTTTTCCACAGATTCCATAAACATTCTATTTCAAGAACCGTATCTGACGTGCTACACCTACATCTATGGCATAATGACCACGTTTACAAAGATGTTCTACTTGTCTTTTCCACAGCTGATGTGTTCTGACCTGTTCGTCTACAGATACGATCCCATTTTAACAAATATTCTTACAGCCCAGTTTCTGGCAAGCACAATAAGCATGATCCTAATAAACAGCAGACGTCTCGTGGCGCTTCCCACGCACCTGCCCTGCTCTGCACGCCCTCCATCTACAACCAGGCAGCTCGGCTCCCGACGGCCTTCGCCAAGGTTCTGTCTCCTTCAGGAGACATCCGCCCTGATGAAACTCTAAGTCACCAGAGGTCACAGGTGGGGAGTTTTAACCTGAGCTTCACTGCTAAGCCTCAGGAGATCTGTGACCCCCGAAACCAGTGCAGAATCAGTGATATGCGTGACCTATGTGCCTGTGTTTATACAGGACCAACACCTACGGTTCTATCACATCCTAGAGAGGACAGAAAAAGCTGTTGATTCCTGCATTAGAGACAGGCCTTCTAAGAGTACTGGGATCGAATTGGACTAGTATTTTAACGACAAAAAAACTTTGCTCTATTAAAAACATATAACCAAGGAGTTTTAACTCAGCAAGTCAATGGTAGTTAAGTCTGACTTCTAATCTGTAATAATCAACATTAAGTATGAGATTGTATTTCAACAAAGCCATTTAAAAAGTAAAGGCACGTCGCAGAAAGCAACAGAGAGCCGAAGCCCCCAGAGCGGCGGCTTCCACCCACCTTTGTACAGAGCGTAGGAGAGGGCGTTGCTCACAATTTCGTCCCCAGCTTCTTCCATTTTAATGACTGTTAACAGGTGAGAACTTTCGAGGATTTCTTTGAGCTGGTGACATTTAAAGAGCAGTTGTCAGAGACATCAGGAGCATCAAGGCCACCCTCTGGGTGAGAAACCTTTGATTACACTTTTAAAAAAAATACCATCTACAAGGAAGCCCCGGACCTCCTTCCCGCGCCCGGAGCTCCTGCAACCCAGTCTGATTTCCAAATGGGGATAGGAAGTCCGTGGCCACCATGAGAACACAGGCCAAACAGGGACACACATATCAAAAAGCTGAAGGACCCGCTAACCGTGGGGTGTGAGTGTGTGTGCACATCCACAGACGTGTGCGTTCATGTGTTTGTGTGCGGCCAAGCCTGGCACATGGGGCTCAAGTGTTGAATGAGTAAATAAAGGAGGAAAGGGCAACGGAAAATCACCGAAATCGCCAATAAGGGCTTTAGCTATCGGAGGGGAAGGTTCAACGTGAACAGGAGGCGAGGACTCAGCGATCGGATAAAGAGACGAGAGATTTGCTCTGACATCCTGTGTGATTTTTCTGTAATGTTTAATTGTAAAACATTTGTTAAAAATCAAAGAACTGGAAGAGAGGCAGAGCCCCAAATTCCGAGGTTTCGGGATGGGCGAGCTCGGCGGCAGCTTGGCGAGAAAGCGCTGCTTCTGAGGAGGAAGCGGGTCTGGATTCGGTTACACTGAGTTGGAGGCGGTGGTGGGTTTTCTAGATGAGGACCTGGAGTGACAGAGCGCGGGCTGGACCGTGGACGGGCGTCTCCAGTCAGGTTGGGGGGGCAAAATTAGCGCACTGAGAGGGAGCCCTGGGTTTGGGGAGGTGACCTTTGAGGCCACAGCCTCCTCATGCTGGAGGTTTTGGTTCAGAAGAGGTCGCGTCCAGCAGATAAAGGACAACACACTCCGTGGGGAGTCTCAGGGGGGAGGGTGGAAGCATGCAGGGAAGGCCTGTGTTCCCACAGAGGGAAAGGGGTCCGACTAGAAATGCCACGGGGCACGGGGCCCAGGCCGCACAATTCTGGGGCGCGTGCGGGAGTGGGCAGCATGGAGGGGCTCAGACACCTTTTCCTGTGAGATGAAAAGGAGGAAGGAGAGGGGCATATGAACCCTCAGCAAACCCGGGGACCCAGAGATGGCCACAGGGGGGCGGTCTCTGCTCCCCCACGCACTGCTGCCTCCTCCATCCTGTCCCCCCTCCCACTGCGGCCCACACCCTCGCCCTGCTTCAAACCTCTGGGTGACTGCCTGTCCCACCTGAGCAACACCCAACCCCCCCAATGAGTGCGCCAGCTTCTGCTCACTGCTTCTACACCCACTGCCGTCTTCCTGCTCCTCGGGGAGACCCCGAAAGGCTTTCCCCGCCTGGCCAGGCCCCCCGCCCCGGGCTCAGGCTCCTCCAAACCCAGGCAACCTGTCCTCAGAACACTCATTCGTTTGAAAGTGTACAATGTGTTCCGCTGTGATCACTCGCCACGAGCGTCTCAGTGTGTTTCTCTCTGAGGACGGGACTCCATCTGGTGCGTGCACTGTTCTTTCTCAAGGACCTGCTCCAGCTCCCGTCCGAGAGCATGTGTTTATCTAGCACCAGTTCAATAAACCAGGGTTGGAAATGCAGGAATGGCTGGTAGCTGGGGTGGCTGATAGACTGGGGGACCATGAGGGGTCAAGTTCTTGAGAAGTCAGGGGGAGGTGGCAGGGAATGTCTTAGAGAACTGGCAGGAGGGGAGGGCGTGGCCCCGGGAAATTCTGGGTCTCCTGGAGAGATGGAGGGACCCTGACTCTGGATTCTGGGGCTGGTTCTGCACTTGATCACTGGCATCGCCCACAACCCACCAGGGAAGCTGCTCGATGGATAGCTGACTGAATGCATACATCCACTAGTGAATAATTCCACCCTTGGGCACGGTCTTCTGGGGAATCTGCACCAACTGCAAAAGCCCCATGAGTACGCGATTAAAAGTCCAGGCAGTTTTCATTGTCGGTGTATGTCTGATGCCCGACATGGTTACAATCACTATGTATTTAGTATATCCGATGAGTATGATTAGATGCGAATCCCAGAAAGGGCAATATAATCACAGAAAGTGGAAGGTGTCTGAGTTTTAGCCTGAGTCAGATGATTTCTGCCTTGAAGCAGAAATGCCCATCTAACTCAAGAATATTTTCTTATTATTTATAGTAAATCCAACCTTCGACTCTCGCGATGGAATGGGCTCCATGATGGAAACAACTCTCGTTGGGTAGCGCCTGTCATTTCCTTTGTGGGAAAATCTCAAAGGCGGGCTCGGGGTCCTGCAAATACCCAAACGCCGAAGCCCGCCTCGGAGCGAGCTGATGCTCCTGTGGGCTTTCTCATGAACAGGAGCAGCCCCAAAAGCGAAAGTCGTTTCAAGTCCACAGCAATTGTAAGACAGAGAGGAAAACAAGAAAGGCGAGGCACTATATTAAAATACTCCCCAGAAACTGCAACAGCAACATGCTTCTTACCTGACCTAATGGGAAAGGGGAGAGACTCTGAGCTGAATCACGGGCCACTTAATTCAGAAAGACAGTTATTCTGCAGTTGCAGCTTCTCCAACCTGCGTCCACCCCGACTCGGTTTGGAATCTGCATTTCTGAAACGCCGTTACTGGGGATTCCTTTCTTCCCCACCACAGCCACAGCCAAAATGCGGCGTGGCATTTGTTGACATCATGGCCTACCAGAAGGATTCCCAGCTTTGCAGACAGACTGATGTGTAAAACCCCATACGCTACCCCTTACGAGGTCAGGAACTCAGCGAGCCATTTATCTTACGGGAGCTTCCATTTCCACCAAGAAACTGGTTTGGGTCAGAGCACAGGTTCAAAGTCACTGAGAAAGGACAGAAGCTGCCAGTGCAGGCAGGCACTGGATGCGTCCTCCCTCCCCACTACCTTGGCTTCCCTTTTCTTTGCCCCCTCAAGTCTCCCCTGAGACTCACCCATCGGATCCAGCTCTCGATCTCCTCCTCAGGCAGCCGGGACAGTGTGCGCGGCAGGAAGCGCACCAGCTTCTCCTTGACCACGGAGGATGTGGGGGCGTCCTCCAGCTCCACCAGGCTGGCGATCACGTCGGCGATCTGCCCCGAGCCTTCCACCACCACACAGGGGATTTTACTCTTGATGGAGGTGTTGATGGCCTGGGGGAGGGGAGACAGAGCCGTGGATGGGAGAGACCCTTAGGATGGCCGGGATCCGGCCCGAGACCAAGGTTCTGAGTCAAGGTGGGTCACCAAACACATGGACACAGCATCCCTGCACGTGTCCCTTTGGGGTTTCGATTTTCGTCAGGAGCGAACCAAATGCTTGCCATGGCTTCATGAATGAGAAATGGGAGCCAGAGGCATCCCACCCGGTGCTGGCACCAAATCCCGTAACAGGGACACGTGTGACTCACTGACCTTCTCCATAAATAATGGCTGGAAAATACCCCCGAGTACAGCACCGGTCATCCCAAATGCTGACACCACAGAGCTGAGTGGCAGCGCCTGAGAGAGCGTCCGACAACGTCATTGCCGGCTTCTCCCACGGAGGTTCACCACGGTCACCCCCTGGGGTGTGAAAAGGCCTTCAGAGCAGCAGCCACATTGTGTGTGCTATGTGGACTCATCTCCCCCCCCCACCAATAGTTGCCTTTGCCCCTTTAATTAACAGAGAAAAGAAACATCTCTGCCTCCTGGGTGGACACCCGTCCTGTACAAAGACCGCAGAGGCCAGCACAGGGGGGTCAGGGGTGCGAATGTCAGTCCCTCACAGCAAGACAAGCGCCCACATTTGGGTACAGAGAAGCACTCGGTGGAGCACCTTCCAGGAGATGCCGCCACTGCAGGGTGTGGTCCCTGCAACCGAGCAAGCAGAGGGGCAACCCCCGACCGGCCAGGGAGCCGTCCGCACCCCACTGCCTGCACTAAGGGCCGTGCGGGGGTGGGAGGGGGTGATGCAGAGGCACTGAAGGGGAGGGGACGGAGGGCTGAAGGGACGCTCAGCTGGCACGGTCCCTCTTCCTCTCCTCTCTCCTGTGCTCCGAGTCCTGGGCCGTGTACTGGCTGAGCTGACACTTCTGGGAAAGGCTGTAGGAAGGCCACACCCCAGGCCTGCAGCAGCCCTCTGAAACTCTGGATTCCAAATCAAAAATCTCAGAGAGCAATAATAAACGTAACTGTCTTTCAGGGACTTTCTCTCCACTTCTCTTCCTCTTTTCTGTGGCTGCTCTTCTTCAAGCATTCACATACTGCCAATCTCCCACTGAAAAGGAATCTCTACTCTAATTTAACCATGGTCTCAGTAGTACATCTCATAACAGGTGCTCGGTAAATACCTGCTGATGGACAAATGCATGCATGCATGAATGAATGAATGAAAAATATCATTGTTAGGTAAAAGAATAAACAAAGAGAAGTGCTAGATTATAAGATTCCAAATAACTTTGCCGGACACTTGTAACTCAGAGGGTGTAGTGTGGGAAAGAGAGGGAAGAGGGCCAAGGTCAAGCAAGCCAGATGCCCATCATCTATCCCTGTCTTAGAGGTAAAGGCAGTTAGGGGGAAATAGGGTGATAGGCAAGTCAACATGAAAACTAACTAAGAGAGGGAGTTAGAATTACTTTCTTAGCATGTCCTATTCCTGGAAAGATGAGCCCATGGGAATGACGATCATGCCTTCAAGTACTGACTCACCTGCAGTCTCACTAGCAGCTTCCAAGAACTCAAACGGAAGCCTGGTTGCAGGTAAGACGAACTCAGTGGCATCGAGTCTACGAGGTGGGGTGGGAGGCTCCCCAGGACACCAACCCTTCTCTTTAGCAGGTGGATGGCCAAAGCCAACGAGTGGTCAGGCTACTCATGTCGCTTCAAGCTCTCTCCCTTAATCCTAGCTGGGGACGCACCTCGGCCTGCTAGGGAAAGTCTGTGTGCTGGGGAAACGCTACCAGCTTGCCGGAGTTAAACTGTTCGGGTGGGCTAGGCTGGGTGAGCCCCACAACCCTGAAAATGCAAACCTGACGAGTGAGCTTGTTCACCAATCTTCTCAAAAACCAAACCAAGACTCACTTTCAAAGTCTCCTTCCCACCTCCCTGGGCAAAGCACACGATGGGGATCTTGCCGCCATAGTTGGAATCTGTAAGACACAAAAGGCCACTGATGTCGGGCTCATTGGAAACACTTACTCAGCGTAGAATAACCATTTGATGAATGACCATCTACATTTCGGTCACAGCCCCCACACTTGAAAATACACATATAGAAATACTTTTGACCAAATAAACTACATCGATTCCTTATTTCAAGAAAAAAAAAGACACCTACCTCAAGGAAGAGCGGGGCCGCGAGCTCCTGCATTGGGAGCTCAGCGTGTGGGCCTCACGGACGGATGGGACCCCCCACTCCTGCATCACTAGCGGTGTGTTTGGGGTCCCAAACCACTCCCCGCCTGGCACAGGCCATGCTGCAATTTGCTAGTGGTGTTTGAAATGCTAAAGTCGGTGAAGAATGTACTTTCGATAACATATGTTAGGCAGGGTTGGAGTTTATCCTCACAACATCTCACTTGTTTGTATAATCCTGTGCCTTCCTGCCACGAGTGAAAAATCCGTGACTCTGCATCCTCTCAGCGAAGAGCACTGGGGGTGCAAATGCCTTCCCTCCCTGCCTGTCACACTCACGCAAGCGTGTCACACTCACGCAAGCGTGAGAGCAAGAACGCCCCCGACAGGCCCCAGCGGTGACATCCGTCCCCACATCACGAGCAACCTGGGTCCACCCCAGGACACGTCTCAACCACAGGAAGAGCCTGTCACTTCCCATGGCCAACACACGCCAACACAGGCCTTCATTCAGGGTGCGTTCTCCCCTCACCGGTGGCTCTAGTATTTAGAAGTAGCCAAGATTCAAAGAGGTAAACCATTCAACCATTGAGCTAGTGGGTTGGTCTTTGTCATTTCCACGCTAGCTGATGGCATTGCTCCGTCAGCTCACGTTTGCTGTCGGGGATTTTCATCTGTTCTGAAGCGCTGTCTAGCAGAAGAGACAGCAGGCTGTCTATCTGATGGACCAGAGCGGGACGAGGCAGCCTCCTCGTCGCTCCAGCGCGTTGAAGGACACCTGTCACAGGGACCCCGGCAAAGTACTGCCAGTGTGCCGAGGCAGGAGGAGACGTAACCGCTCTCCTCTGGCAATGGAGCACCTAACTAGGGGGGTTCGCCACGCTTCACTCAGTGACAGGTCACTATTGTTGGTGCCTCCGCTGCTGCTCTGGTTATTATATGCGTCCAGCATCCCTTCCCCTAAGTCCCGACCCCGAACTCCCGAAGTCCTGACCTTGAATGGTGCGCTCAGAGAGGTACTTCTCCAGCTGGTTCCGGAGCTTCGCCTCCACCGTGGGGTGTCCGTGGCCGCCGTTGTCCACCAGCAGCAGGTGGGTGTGGTTGTTGTCCAGGATGTGCAGAGGGTCTCTCTTGAAGTCGTCCATAATGTACTGTGCTGAAAAGCAGCCCTGGAAGGCACACAGAGACTGGACTTTGGCCTTCCACGTGCTGGCCAAGATGCCTGATGCCATGGCCATCGCCCCTGTGAAGGCTGACCTGTCCTAAGTGCAGAACATCCCAGAGATGTCACAGCACACGCCTTCATTTCAGCTCGAAGAGATGAAGGTTCAGGATGGCCGAGTCACCTCCCTGTGGTCACATAAGTGACTGGTGACCCAGTTCCTGTTCCATCGCCTGTGCTCTTTCTTCTCCATGAATTCGCTGAAACTGACACCATTCAGGACAGCACGGCGCACATGCGTGCACATCCATGTCTCGACACATGCACGCAGCGACCACAGCTTCTCTCAATGTGCATTACCATATCTGGTTATTGGTTCTATTTACTACTTAAATTGTTAATGTTATTTCAGATAATAAAGACTATTTCTATTCTTGTCTTTTCTAATTTATTTCTGATTAAATATTAGTGTTTTCCTCCTACTCTTCCTAAGTTAGTGGGTGTTATTAGTTTTCAAGACCATTAACTTGAAGACTATAGTGGTTAAAAGATCATGAACCATGGCTCTCCCACTTACTAGCCGTTTAAGTTAAGGATGTTTCTCACTTCTGTGCCTCAGTTTCCTCACCATAGTGAGTACTACTGAACTCCTGGGACCGTGGGGAAGATTAAACAGTTAATATATGTAAAGTATTTAGAATGAAGCCTAACACATAGTAAGTGCTGTTAAATAAATGTTAGATATTATTATTATTATTATTATTACTGAACTATTTTATTTTTTGAGCAATAAAGATATATGGCTACGCATTTCACTCTGAGTGCAGCTTTGGACTTCTATCATTAGTCTCAATATATAATATTTTCATTTTCATTGCTAAGTGATCTGCGATTATATTTTTGAAAGTTTTTTTGACTCAATAGTTATTTGACAAGAAAGCTGCCTGTTTGGTTCTTAATTTTTTAGTGATTGGAGCACTCTGTTTAATCTAGATATATTCGTTTCAAGTTGTGCATGCTGGCAGAGAACGGGCCCTACACACTGCCACCAGGGAAACATTGAATTCTTTTGTTGCTGTTGTTCCAATTCAGCAGTAAAAATATCTACTTTACAGGGTCATTCCATGATTCTATGAATGAATAAGTGCAATGCATCCACCATGAATAAGCTGACTCCCAAGCCCAGGACAGACGTCACCAACAGATAACATGCTCTTTCCCACCCAGCCTGCCACAGTCCCCCTAAAGCTGGCATTCGATGTGAAGTCATTTTTCCATCCCTGGCTGAGTACCTAGTCATAACCATAAAAGCTACCATTCAGTTACTTTATCCCATAACAATACGAGCTTGTTATTATTATAAAACTCCAGAGAAGGAATTGCTCTTAAGGCGATGCAGGTGGAAAAGGAGTGGTGACTGTCACCCAGACTTCCCCATCCCCAAAACCCACCCCCACCCTCCCTGCCATGTGCCTCCTAGCAGGCGCTCAGGAAATGCCTCCCCTTTCTCTTCTGCCCCTTAGTAACCTCAAAGATGCCAACAGACACAAAAGAAAAATAATTTTTAAAAATAAAAAAGAAACAGGCTTGGCTGGTGTGCCTCAGTGGACTGAGTGCTGGCCTGGGAACCAAAGGGTCACTGGTTCGATTTCCAATCAGGGCACATGCCTGGGTTGCGGGCCAGGTCCCCAGCAGGGGACGCATGAGAGGCAACCACACATGGATGTTCCTCTCCCACTCTCCTCCTTCCCTCCCCCTGTCTACAAATAAAGAAAGAAAATCTTTTAAACATAAAAGTAAAACAAAGTAATTCTCCAGATCCTACACATGTAGCACCTTTCTCAGGATCCCAGATGAAAGATTAAACTGGAATTTCTGAGCTCACAGTTTCCGAGTCAGAAACACCTGTAGCTTAAGGAGGTGCCCAGCTCACCGCTGTGTCCAAGATTCCACACTTCAGACAAACCCCATTGTCTGTCTTGCATCGCAGACATGACTAACAGGGGCTGCCTCGCAGCCTCTTCAGGCCAAATGAACCGGGGCCACATGGCTGACCTCAATTCCTGGGTGTGACCAAGAAATGGGATATGGCAGCCAGGCCTGAGCCTCTTGTGATGGGTTCAGGTCATGGGTACAAAGAATAAAGACTCCTACTCTACCCGGATTTGCTGGGAAGAGATTTCAAAGAACCAAAAACAGCCACTGGCAACTCCTCCCTGGAGTTCTTGGATTATTATGTCAGCCTTCCTTTGAGTTTCTGAGGTCCCAAAGGCCTTCCCTGCAAAATCCGACTTTCTGGGGAGTTGACTCCCGCAGCGGTCTCCCCCCACATGACCTGGCCGACCTCCTCCCGCCCGCCTTCACCTCAACGTCGCTGTTCCGGATGAGAGTGTCCCTGTTGGAGACCATGCCCCAGGCCGCTATGCCGATGGCCGCGATGTTCTCCTCTGAGCTCCTGCTGATGGTGTTGTCTCGCACCACCTCCCCGATGAACTTCATCAGGCCGTAATGGGTGCCACCCGTTAGAATCCAAGCGCCTGTCACCGAGGGAGAGCAAGGGCTCAGCTGGCTCTGAGTAGGGCTCTTGTCCTGCGCTCACAGCTGGAAGCACCCCCACTTTAACATGAAGTCACCTTAACGCTGACTTTAAAGTTAGTTTGTGACCACCCCCCCACCACCACCAGCACCCGCCAGAGCTCCCGGTCCACTCATTTGAGGACCTCGCTTTTTCTAAGACAATGATGAACCATCTAGTTCTGGAGCACCCGGGTTCTGCGCAGAAGCTGCTTAGGAGAATCCCGCTCTGCCCACGAAGCCCAGGCACCGCCCACGAGGGCGGTTCTGGGCGGGCCCGCGGGCTGGACACGCCCCTGGGCACGCCCCGCGGCGGGACCGCGCACCTTTGGACTGCGCGATGTAGATCAGGCGGCTGAAGATCTTGCGCATGCGCGGCTTCAGCGCGAAGTTCTTGGCGCCGCCGGTCACAGAAATGACCAGGTTGGGCGTTTTCAGGTGCCAATGCTGGGTCAGCAGCTCGTAGAGGATTTCGGCGTCCGTGTCGCAGGACAGTCGGATATACTGTGGGGAAGAGGGGAGGCGTCGGGGTCGGCGCGTGCCCTCCCGATCACGGGGCTCGCTTGGTAGGTTTACCTGCTCCCACGGGACCAGGAAGGAAGGTCCCCGTGGGAAAGTGGAAGGACAGCAGTGGACTGGGGGCATGTGGGAGGGCCACCAAGGGTCGCTCCAAGCCAGCCGGAGAACTTGGGACTTCATCGGAAAGGCACGGACACCTGGGAGGTGTGCTCATTGCAGCAGGCAGAGTGGGGTCTACGGCGTGTTTTAGGGCGCCCCCCAGTGATCCAGGTGACAACATATTGAGGCGGGGGCGGGGGGCGTGCGCGATGCAGGGAGCGCTGCGGAACTAGAGACATTGGCCGGCGTCCAGGGGCCGGGTACCCGGGAGGAGAGGGCAGTTCAGGGAGCCAGGTCACCTCCCGGGGCTTCCACGACAGCGCTGGGTCAGGGGGGGGGATCAGGGCCCTGGCTTCCAGCTGCCTGTGAATGGTTCTGTCCCTGAGACGGGGTTGGGGTGGGGTTGGCTTAAGGACTCGCTGTTAACTGTCATTACAGGTTGTTGTAAAACTCCATGTAAGGGCCTGCAACGTGGGTGTGCAGTGGGTGTGTGTAGCCATTATTGAGGGCCATATGCATTCTCAAGAATGTCACACGCCACACTAAACAGGACAGCTTAGAAAGTGTTGGCCAGGCCTCTGGCACCAATGAGAGCCTATGTGGGCCCTCCACAGCTGTCTGTAGGGTGGGACACAGGCCACCAGGTGAGGGGCCAGTCGTCACCTGAGTTTCCCCATTGCACATAATCAAATCTCAGCTTTTATACTTTTACAAGGTTTGTCTTTTGTTGCCATAGTTTTTGGATGGAGCACCCATCTCTCCCGCCTCCGTACTGTTAAGACAGTTCAAGATAACTCGAGCTAGCCCCAAGTGGTGTTAGTACATGTATTAGCTAGTGAGAGTAGAAAACCATCACTCACCTTCCCTTTCTTGCCCAGACTCTCAAACTGAATATCCCCGAAGGCATCAGTGGGAAACTCCTTGGTGTGTTTCTTATAATTCCATTTCTCGTTCTGGTTGACCTGGGTGCCTTCAATGTGCTGGCTCTGCGCGTAGCCACACTTACACACATTTTCCCTGCGAGGAATGGCGTGGATGCGGAGAACGCATTTCATCAACCGACTTAAACAGGCTCACCACATTTTTCAAATAAACCACACAGTACCAGCTTAAGTTAGCACAAAAAGACAGTTGGCCATCCAGCTTTGTTTAGACTATTGTCGTCATCTCAGTTGGTTGTTGAGAAACCGTCTTGGTGTTTCATGTCTGTTGTCTACCCGTCTACCCACCAAAGGAGGCTCTGTGTTGAGAGCAGGGTGGAGGGCAGACCCTGCTGCCTGGAGTCTGGCTCGTACGTAAGGAGCGGTGACGTTATCCTGGGAACGGGCCTTACAAATGTGGATGCTACTTATTCGGCTTCCCACAAAAGGGTCATAATGCCCAGGAGCCCTGGGCCACTCTCGGTGACACAGTGCCAGCCCTGCCAGTTTGCCCAGCCACTAACCCTCTTCTGAATCTAGGCGGGCCCTCCTTCTCTTGGGCTGTACTCACTGGAGATAGGGGGTTCCCTGGCAGGGGCCCAAAGCATTCCGGAGTTTAAAGGGATCATCCTTTCCATACTGTACATCGGCCGCCTGGGAGACTTTTGATCATCTGGGCTAGACAAGGTCAAACCGGACAGTAAACAAACACCAGCTCTTCGCATGAGAAGTGCAGTAGAACTAAGTTCATTGTTAAGTGATACATATGCAGGATAGAGTGGAAGAGGATGAAAAGATAGTCAGTAAGTGGTAACACCTCTTCCCCCTCTTCCTGCCAACGAACGGCAGTCATTCAGCAAACATGGAGTAAAAATCCACCAGGAGGCAGACCTGGGCGGAGCTCCATGGCGTCCACACATTAGCTGTGTGGGATTCCGGCCTCAGGTTGCCGGTGTCCTCTCGGGAATAGCCAAGCACAGCACCTGGCGGCATTCGGTGAGAAGCAAACCAGTACCTGCTTTTGTTCCGCACAATCCCCTCTCTCTTGGGCTTGCTGAGGGGGCTGGAGCTGAGCAAAGCATCACCATGCTGGCACACGGCGCACACTCTAGCCAGTGTCTCTAGGTTGTGCTGGTGCTGTGCGTGCAAACTGGGGAGTAACGAAAGCAGTGGCAACAGAAAAGAAGCAAAAATGCAGTAAAAAAAATCTAAAACCACATCTGTGACTACTTGGCCCCTCTGCCAGGCCTGTGCTGCATCCGGAGGGCTGTGGTGTCCACGGGGATGAACAACCACACAAAAATGGTACCATGGCCAAAGCCACCCCTCGGGAGGCGCTGCTCCCCCTCCCGGGTTCCTTCTGCCTGTTCCACCCACTCAGTTCTCCTGGGTCCCTCTCCTGTCAACCTTCACACAAGATTCAGAAGGGTGCTAAGGACTCAAGGGGGCTGTAGCCGGTGGACAAGAAGAACAGAGTCCTGTTCCACAGCAAAGTGAGAGCCCTGCTTGGCCACTGTCACCAGGCAGAGAGGCAGAGCTCTCCTTTGTCCAAAACAGCACAGAAATAACGGAGCCAGCAGAGCCCCTCACTTGGTCAGTGAGCATGTCCCGATCTGCCCGTTTACCCCGTTGCCCAAGCCCTAGTGGGATCAGTGCCCCCACCACTGTCAACAGGGCCCCAGGGCCCCCAGGAAAGTATGGGGTCACTCTGGCCACAAACCTACTAGGAAAGGCAGCCCCTCTGGCAGACATGGGCCTGGCCAGGATGCAGGGACAGCACAGGGTTCAACCCCACTGACCCCTGGACAGCACACTGCCTGAATGGCTATAGCTGCTGACCTGGAACAAGGACCCCCTGCATAGGGCAGGTTCGAGGGGCAGAGAAGCGGAGGAGATCTGCTGGGGTCAGCCCCCGGCTGGCCTCTGTTTATCGCATACCCTCTGTGCCCAGCACGTGAGGGCATTCAGCAAACACCGTCGGGACGAGGAAGGAATGAACAAGCGATGAACACCCTGACTGGCCTGTGTGCGAACGGCCTGCACCCTCGTCCATCCTCAGCGGTGTGTGCAGAGTAGGGGTTTGGCCTTCCAAAAGGCGAGCTTGTGGCTGCCTCGACCACGGGACGGCCTGTATTCTCACCTCCTCCTTCAGTGACAAGCTTACTGGGAAGACTGCAAAAATGTAGATTGACTTCTAAAAACACTCCGTAGCGGTAGATCTCGTTTGCAGTTTGCAAAATGATGACAGTGATATGATTTTCTGCAACTGCTTCTAAAAATGGGACAAGGGCAGGAACTAGCTGCTGCAGACGGGCTCCAACTGTGGCCAAGAGTCTACCGCCTGGAAGAAGTGGCTTCGCTGTGTCTCAAGAAATGAGCTCCTCTGCCGACCTTCTGAGGCCTGGGGTGACTATGGAAGTCGCCCCACAGAGAGAGTTCCTAATGAGGACAAGCGCACTGGGCAGGAATCTGCAGGGCAGCTTGCTCTGCTGTGAATGGTGCGTTGGCGTGGGCCCCAGCGGGAGTCTAACGCTCATTTACAAACCGGAGTGGCCAGAGAGGCATCGGAGCCAGGCATCTGGGGGAGGGGTGGGGTGACGACAGGGGAGATGGAGCGAGAGGACAACCTCAGGACCCCAGTCCTGACTCCCAGACCAAGTCTGAATCTGAGCGTGTACTGTCAATAAGGTAGCCCCTCGCCACGTGTGACTATCTGATTTTACATTTGAATTTAATTAAAATTACATAAACTTGATTCCGTGGCTGTACTAGCCACAGTGGGAACGCTCAACAGCTGCACACGGCCAGTGACTGCCATAGAGGACAGTGTGCCTGTGGGATACTTCTGTCACGGCAGGAAGTCCCACGGCACAGAGCACCTGTGGGGAAAGCAGCATTCTTCCTGTTTCCGCCTGACACCCGGCCTGGCCACAGCAGAGGAGAGGACAAGGCCAGGTCAGGGGCTACGGCCCCAGCCAGGTGGCAGTGTCTCAGGGGCATCATCGGCAGGGGCAATGGGCGGGCATCGCTCTCCACAAACAGGCATCAACCAAGGGCTAGAGTGGAGACACATGAGTGGCTGGGCTCAGCCCACGAGGCGACCCCAGGGACTCTTGAGGACTCTTGGACAGCCATATGTCAGTAAGTGTGGCAAGCAGCCTCAAAATCAGTCTCCCTGTGAATAGTCTGGATTCCCTGGTCTGATGGGTGATTTAGATTAGCAGAGGAGTTCTCCACCACCTTTGGAGAGATAAAAATTACAACTACGGGAAGTTCGGAGAGTGTAGAGCTTGACCTTGGTCTCCAACCTCATGCCCCCTCTGAGATGGGAACTGGAAGGCGCCGAGAGGTCCCTGTCCTCTGCCTGTGTTGTCCCGGTGGGGGCTGCTCACCCCAGCTCCCTTCACGGGAGGCCAGACACGAGCTGTCATCGAGCCTGTGAGGGGCTGGCTCTGGGTTTCCAGTTCTCACACCCACCGCCTCCTCTGCCAGCAGGAGCCCCCGGATTCTGCTTCGGGGAATCATCCCTTTGCACACTGGATCCATGTGGACACAATACCCAAGCCTGGCCAACCAACACGGTCCATCCTCTAGCCGGGGATCCACGTACAGATGGACACACGGCCCAATCCTGGCCAATGAGAGCCATGACCTATTGGTGGAATCACTAGGGGACAAGGCCCTCTGCTCCCCATGGTAACTTGGGGACACAGAAGCCAAAGATACGGTGACCATTTTGCCACCACTGCCGGCCAAGAGAACAGCATAAACAACGGGTGGAAAGACACAGGGTCTTGGTGGCCTTGAGCCCTGGATCTCACTGTGCTTTTAGCCAGGAGGCCTGTCCTCCCCTCCCTCACCTAAGCCAGTTAGAGGGGTCTCTGCAACTAAGGTGAATATGTCTGCCCAAGGCAGCGCAAAGGGCGGGGGCTGGGGACACAAGAACGCACACCCTGGGAATCAGAAAGCGTGGGTCCATCCCTGGTCGGTGGTCTCCCACGAGCCACGTGCCCTTGGGTAACATGCCGAACCCCCGGGACCTCGTGCACCTTGTCTGTCCAGTGCCATTAGCAGCTGCCCCGCAGGGGGAGCTGGAGAACTGGCCATCGAGGACGGAAAGTCCCCGTGACGTGGTGGAGGCCCAGTGAGTGTGTGTTGAATGAATGTGTGCGTCCAAACTGTGTTTTGTCCCGGTTCCGCAAATGGGTTAATAGCAAAACCTGCAGGGAAACACTTGGGGAATTTAACTCTGTCACATGACTCGTGTTGAGGAGATTCGTACCAATGACGAAAGAAAGTCTTTGTTTTTCTGACGCCCATTTTCTAATCCACACAAAATGAGAAAACCCATGTATTGAGAATCTGTTCTACTCCGGGGCACTGTGGCGGGTATTCATGGGTCACCTCATTGCATCGGAACCAGGCCCACGAGGAACGCTTGGCCAGCACTCTAGGGTGAGAGAACTGGTTCAGAAAAGACAATAACTGGCTCAAGGTCACTCGGGGAGCAGGCAGCCAGGCCGAGGTTGGCCTTGGGCTGATTTCTAACGCCCCTGCTCTTGTCCTCACACCTTGCTCTGTTCCTACATCCACTCAACAGAGGGTCAGCGCTTTAATTATAAACTCTCCCTCCCTTCTATCAGCAGCAAAGGAAAAAAGGCAGAGAGGACCAAGAGGAGAGGGAGGTGGGACTAAATTGTCTGTTAGGACCCAAGGGCATCTTCTGTGGGACAGACCAGCAGTCTGTCCATCTGTCCATTCGATCTTGCACTCACTAGGTAGCACCCACGCAGGGCCTTCCTGGGGCCAAGCTGCTGGGGCCACTCCCACCACCTCTGTAGCCCCGCCCCGGTGTTCCAGCACCAGGGAGACTCACAGTAGACGAGCACCTGATCCAATGGGAAGGCCCAAGGTCAACAGCCTGACAGGGAGCCTATCAGATTCCATGCATGCACATACGTGGTGTTGCCTGCCAGCCACTGTAAAACAGCAACATGCATTGCCACGGCCACCTGGGTGGGCTCACAGGCTTGTGGGGATGCTGAATGGGGCAACAGCCTCTCCTGGAGACTTTACCAACGGTTGCCAAAGGTACAAATAGAAGACAAAATGATCTCGCTCTGGGGCCAACTTCAATCTACTTGCCGAATTCTTCTTGCACCACTGCTGAGAACTGCAGGGTGGAGGTGACCTTGATGGTGAACTAGGAGCATGTGCTTGTTTGTTGAAATGACTATTAATCATTTATTATGTTAATCATTAATCATGTTCGAATGCGGAAGCAAGAACAGAGGGAAAATAACTGCTTACCCGGCTTTGGAATCTTTGGTGAAGAAGACACATTCTCGTTTCTTAAAATTTGCTTGAATAAAGTCCACCAGGTCCTTTGGAGGAAGAGAACATTGGACCACACGTTACTGATCAATTCCCTCGCCGTGCGGTGACTAAAACACTAAGTATGGCCTGAGTCTACTTCGAAGGCTTCAGGAATGTACTACATATTCATAGCGGCCAACATCCATTCATAGTCTTCAGAGAACACGATGTTTTTAAAAAGAGGCATATGTTTACATTTTTTATAACTAAGTGCAAATTTTTCTAAAAATTACTTAGAGTTATAATAAATGTCATTATATGCATAAATTATGTTTTTCCATCACTAAGGCTATGGGGGAATTTAAGCATTTGTTGGTAGTTTAGCATAAATAAATAATGCATTATTGCAGATTCTATTCCTCTTATGCTTGCTTTTCAAAAGAAGACAGATTCTGAAACCTCTGTCGGTAGCCGTATTCTCCCTGGGGGCAGGGTGGTGCTCTATACCTGGAACCTAACTCTGAGAAGCAATCGGGAGACTGCTATAAGCCAAAAACATCTCTTTAATTGGCAGAAGCAACTATTTGGAAACAGACGAAAAATACTTCAAAAATACCTACACTCCTCAAAATGGGAGAAGATACTGTGAAACACACTAATCATGGGATTGGTAAACAGAATACATAAAAAACTATAAATCACTAAGAATAGGACAGGCGACCCAGCAGAAAAATGGCAAAGACCTGAGCAGGCATAGAGTAAAAGAAGACACACGAATGCCCCATCAGTGTGCAGAAAGAAACTCAACCCCACCAGTAACGAGGCAAATCTGAAACGAAGCCACAGCAACGGCCCCACGCGCACCCACCAGGTCGGAAGGATTGACAAGCAAGTGACCCAGAATGTGGGTGAAGGGTAAGGCGGGGGCCTCGTGCCCAGGGTGGGCAGGTGGCTGAGCAACCTGGTGGCACCACTCTGGACCACTGTCCACTGCTGCCTGCACAGTCACACCCGAGAAAGGGTCCCTTGTGGAGAGGGATGGCTGTCCTGGGAATGACTGGCAAGCCCAGAATGCCCGGCTGTGGGTGGTCCGGTCCTGGGCTGTCAGGCCCTGGGGAGCTGGGGCTGGCAGCCCAAAGCCACCTCCCTCTGGCCACCAGGCACTGGCAGCTGAAGTTGTCAGACAGCCGCACACAAGCTTGTCTTTCCAGGTCAGGCTGCTGGCCCCAGAGTCGGCCCCAACTCCTTACCCCCCCCAAAAGGGAGGCCATCCCCAGACTGCACCCCCAAAATGGAGTGGGACAGTCCCCCCCGGCACAAAGTCCCGGTGCATCCATCAGTCTCCCGCTTGGCCACTCCCCACTCTGTGCCCCCAGGACATCGGAGAGCATGCCCGTCCGGCCTCCTGCTCCCTGCCTTTGGAACAAAAGTTCCCCCAATAATCCTGCATGTTAAACCCAACGCCCTGGGAGCGAGGTGTTTGCCCCACCAGCCTCAACCCAGGGGACTTCCAGGAGCCGCGGCTCACTCGCTCCAGAAGGTCCAGAGTGGCGTTGCTCCAGAGAGCAAACCTGGAAACCGGGATGTGCGCGTGCACACACACGCACACAAGGGGTGGGCACAAGGGGTGGGGCAGCGAATCTGCAACTGGGCCCCCCATCACCGTGGAGGAGGGCTGGTGGGAAAAATGGCTTCTTCGTGGCCTCCCTGTGCCTGTTTCTATGTGTCGGGCAGAGCTACTTTGACTCCGTGTCTTGGCAGTGTGGCGTAAGGCAGTAAGTGTCCTGCAGGGCCCGGTGGCACAGCCTCTGCTGTCACCCAAGCTGTGTGCTTGAGGCGTACCTGAAAGTTCCCTCTGAGCACTCACTTTGCACAGCCGTGTGTTCTCAGGGGCCACACGGGATCCTCCAGACCCAAGACGTGCCGGGGCGGCCTCGAAGCTCTACCCACAGGCGCCCACATCTCTAAGGGGGCAACCAGCAGGGGTGCAGGGTTGGGGGGTGGGAAGTCCACTCAGGAATGCAGTGGGAGCCCGCAGGAGCCGCAAGAGAAAGACCCAGCCTGGCCCGTCTCCCCAAGGCACAGCTGCCTGAGCCAGCGTGCGATCCAGACGGGCTGGAGGAGGGGACTGCGTAGGTCACCACTGTCCCTCGTCCCCTGCGTGCTTCTCACAGGGCCAGGGCCAGGGTGTGGAGAGTGGACAAGCACAGGGGCCATGCCTGAGAGCCAGCGTCTCCTTGAAGACCCGGGATGGGAGCGAGGGGTAGGGAGTTTCCTGCAGGTCATGGGCGCATCACACAGTCAGCCACTCGACCACCGGCCGGGCAAAAATGCTGAGTGCCCGGCACCGAGGAGACCGCCTTTGGCGGGCACCCAACCTGGGCCCGGCTCACCCACCACCGGCAAGGACGGCGTGTCTCTGCGTCCCAAAGGCAGCGTGGCCGCCGGCCTGGAACAGGTGAGACGCCGTGGCAAGAACGCTGACCTTCAAGTCAAAGACAAGGACTCAGAATCAAGAGGCGTCTCTGCGGCGAGCGGAGGGGGCTGCAAGGAAGACCACGGAGGCCGAATACTAACATGATTGTCCAAAGTGCCGTGTTCAGGTCTCCATGAAGGCCGGACAAGAAACGCATTATCCACACAGCTTACTTGGGTTGCAGTCACCGCCCTTAAAAGGGACGGCTGGAAAAACCACACAGAGAAGAAAACGCTTCTGCCTTCCACCAAAACAGCCCACAGGGCAAAACACCACGGGCTGTGCCATCATCTCTTTAAAGAAGGAGTATTGGGGGGGCGTCCCCAGAGAACCCTAACTGCCGAGTGCGGCCTTCTGGCGTGAAGGCGGCGCGGGCTGGGCGCCCGGACTCACACTCTCGCTGTAGGACACGTCCATGCTCCGCGACACGCTGGAGTACAGGGTCCGCGTGCTGTCCAGCGTGCCATTCCGTCTGCTCCACATGCTGAGCCTGGCGCCCTTGATGGACATGCTGGCCTGTGGAGAATGGGGGCGTGAGGGGTCAGTGGGGCTCCAGGCAGGAAAGGGGCTCCACTGGAGGCGCCATCACAAAGCCTTGCTCCTCCCCCAAGCTCGTCCTCCGAGGTCTGCAGGCCACCAGGCTCTGACCATGGCCCTGCTGCTCTCGCCTCCCTCCCCTTCCTCCTGGAGACTCAGCTTGAGCCTTGGCCCTTCATCCTTCATCCTGCAGTGTGTCTCTAGTCTCTCCTGCAAGGGCCAGGCCCCACCTGGGTGCCCCTCCCCATCACAGACCACCGCACTCTGCGGCCTCAGCACCTGTGGTGTCCGGCAGCCTATATCGGCTGGAGGACCAGGCTGTGGGGGAGGGGGCAGAGGGAGGAATGCGGGCCTGACCCTGGCAGGTGAAGGGGAAGAAGGGCCTTGGCAGGGGCGGTGGGAGGGCCTGGGGGTCAGCGTGCGCCTCCTGGTCCCCCTGAGACTCGGAGGACCCGTGGGGACGCTGGCAGTACAGCCCAGACTCTCGCAGGCTGTCTGCTGGGGCGTCGGGGGGAGCATCCGCTGCCGTGGAGATGCCTCCGGGCCACCCTCCCACTCCTCTGCAGCTCAGACCCCCCACGTGGCAGGAGCCCTCTGTCCCCGTTGCCCGAAGGCTGCAAACCAGACTGCAGGCAGAACCGGTGCTGTCCACGGACACAGTGAGACACTGTTTCTAGAAAACCGTCATCCTTCCTGCACACCCTGCCCTCCCCCTCCCCCTTTCCTGGCACCAAGCTCCCCCCAACCCCGGGCCACTAGCTCCCTGTCCCATGGGCCTGCTCCTCATGCGGACCCCGCCCTTCGCACCTGCAGCCCCACCCTGGGTCTGCACCCTCTTCCCAGACCCTCTCCTCCTGGTCAGCTGTTGCTCATCCTCCCCCTCACAAGGCACTCCCTCAGGGAGGTGCCCTGTGAGCCCCTACCCACTGCCCTGCCCTGACTTCCTGGCTGGGGTCATGACCCCTGTGCCCTAGGCTTGCTGGTCAGCGACCAGGTCTCTCGTCCCCCGCTATCTTCCTGAGGGCTGCACAGTGCGACAGGAGACCTGTACAAATATGTCCTGAGTGAATCATTTGAACCAATAGGTGGCACCCCCACACCCTGCAAATCCTCCTTCCATTTGTAGGCCACTTCCACATCGCGGCCCACACACCCGAGGTGGAGAGGGCTGAGACCCACGCCCAGCCACACGGGCCAGATCCTGCGTCCAGGTCACTGTCCCAGGCCAGCCTCCGACTCCTCGCCCTTGGGGCCCGGGAAGCTTCTTTACGCCTCTGGGAAAGGCCGGTCCAGGCTGTTTAAACACCGAGAGCTTCCTTTACTCCTCTCCCCAGGCACTGCGAAGACAGGCTCTGAGCATTAATTGGCGCTCTACATACATTGTTGCAAAACCGCAAACCAACGCTGCAGGGCCTTTACCAGGATCCCATACAGCAAATTGCCTCTAAGTAGGAAATGATTTCATTTGCCTCGCAAGGAAGAAACTGCTTATTTCATCCCAACGGAAAAAAGGGCAGTTTTGCTTTTTGATCGCAGTCCAATCAAGCAAGACTCGGGGTGAGGGGAGCCGCTCCGTCCTGGCGTCTCAGATGCCTTTGCTGGTATTGGCTTCTAGCTGGTTCTCGGAGGCCAGTCGGTGTCCACGTCCCCCACGAGATCCTTCACAGCGTCTTACACAACAGGTGTTCCAGGCGAGCCGTTACCATCAGCTGAACACACCCAGGGGTTAAGGCTTCAGTGGGAAAGAGGCTGGGGCATTCCAAGGAAAGATGTGGGACCAAGGACAGAGGGGAAAGGTCAGAGAAGCCGGGGGTGGGGGGCTGGAGAGACAGGAGAGGGTCCTCAGGAGACCCGGGGCTATTTATAATGGGGTTACTTGGAAAGAATTGAAATGTCCATCCACAGGGGAACATTCCACCCAGAAGACGTCTGAGGATGGTGCCAGGAAGGGGGTGTGCTTTAGCGACACAAAGAGGTTACTCTGATTCATAGTGAATGGGGTGGGGGATTAGGAAGCAAGAAATAAGAAATCCTAGGGGTCAAGAGCTCTGCCTTGAAAGACAGTGAGTTCGGGTTCAGCCACTAACCCGCAACCTTGAGTGAGGCCTTGACCCTCTCACTTCCTGAGAAAGGAGGCTCAGCTGCCGGCACAGGAGGCGCCCCCAGGACCGGCTGCCGGAGCTGCGGGCAGTGTGGACGCAGTGTGTACAGAGCATGCGGCCCACGCGTTCGCACCCCCCGAATGGTAGGCACTGCTGTACGTGGGGGGTGGAACCAAGAGTCAGTTCTCTTTCACTCCTTTACTTTTTATATTGACCAAAATCAAATGTAGTGTTTATGTAATCTGGAAACTATATCTAATGACAGGAAAAGTGTCTAGAGGCTGGGCAGGGCAAGAGTGACCAGTTCCAGTACATGGGAGTTGAGACGGCTCCCTCCACAGGCTCCAACAGAGGGGGGAGAGGGCAGGGGAGAGACCAGAGCACAGGCGAGTAGAACAGCACAGTAACAGCCTGGCTTAGCAGGATGCGGTGGGGTGGGCAGGATAAATGAAAGACAAAAGAAAAGTCCACGAGAAGGTAACAAATACGGACGAAAACCTCTGGTCTTTCTTGTCTCCTGCCACAGTCCTAGGAATTTCACGTCAATTCCTGGATGTGAAGTTGATTTCCTGTCCTAGCGACGGGTGTTCCCTGGAGTATGACTTACTCCCGAGAAGAAATGGCAGGGTGTCCCAGAGCGGAGGCTTCCTGGGGCCATGGCTTGGGTTTGGAGGCTTCTCTCAACAGCCAAGTCTAGAGTGGTGACTTAAAATGGGGTCTCCAGGGCCTCCCTGCTGTGAGGGGCTCAGGACCCCCTCCCCACACCAACAGGAGGTCCTAGAAGGTTCCCTCGGAAGCAAGGGGTCTGCTGTGGGAGAGCATTTGCTGAGGGGCTCGGGCTGCTCATCACGTCGTCCCCCCACCGCCCAGCGGCACAGGCCGCCAGGCGTTGCTGCAGCTTCCGTCCCGGGGACAAATAAGGGAGCCTCTGGGAGAAAGGCAAGTTCGCAGACGGTTTGCCAAGCTGCAGAGGTCAAAGGGGACGAACTAATTCACGTGACCCCGCCAACTGGGGTTTGGAGTGCCGCACACAACTTGGAAAATGGGATCGCGTAGCTCCAACACGCCTCCACAGCAGGACACAGCAGGCTGGGCCCGCCACGCACTCGGCCGATGGCCCGAACCCTCACCAGAACCGCCTCTGGGACGGGACCGCTCCCTGTGGGCCAGGACTGCCAAGTGTGTGTTCACTCAAAGGAGGTGGAGGGACCTTCCACCCACTTACAAGGCAGAGGGGACACTGCGGGCAGGTGAGGGTCCACACAAAGGTCTTTGTGTTACATTCGCACACGGACAGCTGTCTGCACTGTTCCCCCAACAGCCCGCGAACAGGTCCATTCCTGCTGGATTTTCAATCTTGTGAAGAGACACCCTGGGGGCCGCCTCACTCTTACTCCTTGCGTCCCACACCTCCATGCTCTCCCGCCTGATCCATAAACGCTTCTATTTTGTTGCCTCTGACTAGATATTGGCCTCAGATCCTTACCCGGAGCATACGCTCTTTTTACATGCAAACTCACATCTGGCTGAGGTCTGTGCTTTTGTTTTCCAGCTTGCAAAAAGCTTGTCGCCTTACTGTTCTCCGATGACAGACACCCCTGGGCATGTCCAGCACCCAGACAGTGTGCTGCCTCCCCCAGTCCCAGAAGTGGCAAGGCAGGCAGTTGTGACAAAGACAGAAAGAGCGAAGACACTCGGAAAGGACGCCTGGTGGCCCATCAGTGAAGTGCCTTCCGGGGCTGGCTCCCGCCCCCATTTCTGTGTGGGGCTGGCCCCCTGCTCCGAGGTGGCGAAGACGGGCACCAGCGTGCGACCCAACGTCAAACCAGAGGACGTGCAGGTCATGCTGGCCAGGTGGTCCTGTGCAGCGAGCGACCCTCACACAGGCTGCGCACGGAGCACGGATGACACAGACCCAGAGGTCACAGGGCTTGGCCCACCCACCGGCACCTGTGCGATGGAGCCGGGGCTCCTCGGGGCAGTGACATCCTGGTGAAACTGTTTCAGGACACGAACGAGCATAAAACCACACCAGCAACACAGCAGAGAAATAGGCTGTCGAGCGGGAAACCAGGCTGGCCTCCAGCCGCTCCTCTCCAACACTCTCTCAGGGGTTGGGGAGCAGCACTTGTGTTTGGAGGGAAGAGCTCGTCACGTGGAAAGTGTGTCCTCGGCCAGTTCCACTGGGAGTGCAGCAGGAAGACACTCAGGAACTCGGGGGACTTGGGGGGCCGGGGGAGGGAGAAAAACCCACCCGACTGCCAGCAGTTCGGAAAGAGGGTGGGGCCGTGACGACCCCAAAGAACAAACAGGAGGCGTGGCCAAACTTTTCTCTTTCTACAGTTTAAATGTCTATATTTGACCCTGGAATAGAAAGATTCAAGAAGACTTTCTAAAATTTTACTGAATGCAAACAAAGGAATCAAAGATGGTTGTGAGGAGAGGGTCAAAGGAGGAAGAATTGGAGAAGCGAGGGGCTCCCTCCTGGCACCTGAGAAGCCACTTCTGGGAGTTGGGGCGGGGAGTGGGTTGCCACAAACACACCCTCGTCTTGCTCGGGGCCAAAGCAAAGGGGTGAAATCTCAAGTTCACTGCGTCCCTAAGGTAAAAGCGTCCCCACGTGAGGGACTGAGAGGACAGCCTGCAGAGAGCTGGGCACCACGTCCCCCTTTTCCGAGGGCGGAGAGGGGTGAGCACATAAAAGGGCCGCAGCAGCCATCTTGGCAGCGATGGGAGGATTGCACCCCTTGACTGGGGTGCTCTTCACACAAATCCCCTCGTGCTAAAATTGCGTGAGATGATGCCCATGCCACGAGCACAAGCGAACCAGGTGAAATCCGAGTCTGTGGTGTGGCCGCTGCTCCCGGCAGT